CCTTGAGTTTTGGGAGTTGTAGTTCACCTACATCAAGAGAGCACTTTGGACTCAAACAAGGGTGGATCTGGACCAAACTTGGCACGAATTCTTAATATTCCCAAATGTAACCACTGTTGGAGTTTGGAGAAAATAGACCTTGACATTTGGGAGTTGTAATTGCTGGGATTTATAGTTCACCTACAATCAAAGAGCATTCTGAACCCTACCAACGATTGAATTGGGCCAAACTTCCCACACAGAACCTCCATGACCAACAGAAAATACTGTGTTTTCTGGTAGTCTTTGGTGACCCCTCTGACACCCCCTCGCGACCCCTCCAGGGGTCCCGACCCCCAGATTGAGAAACACTGCTCTAGATCCTCTAGTGTAGGCTGGGACAAACTTCAACCCTCTTTGTGTTTTGGATTCCAACTCCCACAATTCCTAACAGTCGGTAAAGTGTTAGAAATTGGGGGAGTTGGAGTCCAAAACACCTGGAGGACCAGAGTTTGCCTATACTGGTTCTAGCGCAATTTAAGATTAACCTCTTGCAGAAACTGGCCACAGAGTCACTCTGGAGGACCTTTAGATTCTTAGAGAAAACCTGTGAATCAAATTGGCAGTTAAATGGTGTCATGCTGGATTAATTTTACATATACGCCTAGTTTCCCGAAATACAGCAATGGGATGTTCACATAGTACTGTGTTTCCTGCAACACACTTTGTTGAGGTTTCAACATAGAATGGGCATGACTTCCTGGTCTCCTGAGCAAGGAAATACAAAAGAGAGTATTCATTTGTTGCATTTTTCCTTTGCAGATAAAAGAGTGAGCATTTATCTGAAAGTGGAAAATCACTCAGCAACTAGAATTATACACAACAGAGAACAAGCATTGCGTAACGGTTGGAGCATTGGATTACAACTCTGGAGACTAGGATTCAGATATCTGCTTGGTCAATGAAACACATTGGGTAACTTTGGTCATGTCACACTCTCTCAGCCTCAGAGGAAGGCAAAGGCAAACCTCCTCTGAACCAATCTTACCATGAAAGCACTGTGGTTGGTTCACACTGGGATCGGGATAAATCATAAAAGACTTGGAAGACACAAAACAACAATGCCATTCTCACTTGCCACCAAGTTGGCTGTGAAAGTTTGTGTTTACTCAGCACTGCCCAGTAATGAGTCAAGCCTTTTCTTCTTCCTTGTATCCAACATGCAAAGAAAAGCTTATCCAATATGGTTTGGGATTTATATTGCCCTCCATAGACTGTTGGATTGCAAGTCCCAGTATTCCTCACTGCTGGAAATTGCAGTTCAACAATATTTAGAACAGTGTTTCTCAACCTTCCTAATGCCGCGACCCCTTAATACAGTTTCTCTTGTTATGGTGACTGCCAATCATAACATTATTTTTGTTGCTACTTCAGAACTGTAATTTTACTACTGTTATGAATTGTAATGTAAATATCTGATGTGCAGGATGTATTTTGATTCACTGGACCAATTTTGGCACAAATACCCAATACGTCCAAATTTGAATACTGGTGGGGTTGGTGGAGTGATTGATGTTGTCATTTGGGAGTTGTAGTTGCTAGATTATTATTATTATTATTATTATTATTATTAAACTTTATTTGTACCCCGCTAGCATCTCCCGAAGGATTCGATGCGGCTTACACAGGCCGAGGCCTCAACACACAACATAACAGTAAATCTAAGCAAATCAAACAAATTAAAAACAGAATAAAGCAAAATAAACAACAGGCACAATACACTAAACACAATAAAACTGGGCCCGGCCAGAGAATGGGTACAAGATTAAAAGTGCTGATGTGACAGGAGGTGTATATAGGGCTTCCAGGGCAAGTGCGATGTGCGATGTGCAGCAATCATTGGTTCTGATAAAGTGCTTATGGGACTTGGTAGTGGAGATTTCCTAATCTGGGAAGGCGCATCGGAAAAGCCAGGTCTTCAAGTTCTTTCTGAAGACAGCCAATGTAGGGGCCTGTCTAAGGTCTTTGGGGAGGGTGTTCCAGAGTCGGGGGGCCACCACGGAAAAGGCCCTGTCCCGCGTCCCCACCAAGCGCGCTTGCGACGCCGGTGGGATCACGAGCAGGGCCTCTCCAGATGACCGAAGTGAACGTGTGGGTTCGTAGATGGAAATGCGGTCACGCAGGTAGGCTGGTCCCAAACCGTTCAGGGCTTTGTAGGTAAGCACCTGCACCTTGAATTGGGCTCGGAAAATAAACGGCAGCCAATGGAGCTCCTTAAACAGAGGGGTAGACCTCTCTTGATAATGAGCCCCGGTTAGCATCCTGGCTGCTGCCCGCTGGACCAATTGAAGTTTCCGAGCCGTCTTCAAGGGCAGCCCCACATAGAGCGCATTGCAGTAATCCATTCTAGAGGTGACCAAGGCATGGACCACTCCGGCCAGATCCGCCTTCGCGAGGTACGGTCGCAGTTGGCGCACGAGTCTCAGTTGTGCGAAAGCCCTCCCAGACACCGCCGACGCCTGAGCCTCAAGCGTAAGCGTTGAATCCAAGAGGACTCCCAAACTGCGGACCTGTGGCTTCAGGGGGAGTGTAACCCCGTCCAGCACAGGTTGCCACCCTATATTTATAGTTCACCTACAATCAAAGAGCATTGTGAACCTCACCAACGATGGAATTGAACCAAACTTGGCACACAGAACTCCCATGACCAGCAGAAAATACTGGTGGGCATTGACCTTGAGTTTGGGAGTTGTAGTTCACCTACATCCAGAGAGCACTGGGGACTCAAACAATGATGGCAAACTTGAGTGGATTCAATTCCTTCCTTCTCTTCCTCTTTCCTTCCTTCCCCCTTTTCTTTTTCCTTCCTTCTTTCTCTCCTTTCTTCCTTCTCTACCTCTTTCGTTCGTTCCTTCCTTTCCTCTTCCTCTCCTTCGTTCCCTCCCTCCCTCCTTCCCTTATTTTCATCTTCCTTCCTTCTCTTCCTCTTTCCTTCCTTCCACCCTTTTTCTTTTCCTTCTCCTTTCTCTCCTTTCTTCCTTCTCTGCCTCTTTCCTCTCTTCCATCTCTCTTTCCTTCTTTCCTTCCCTCCCCATCTCTCCTTCGTTCCCTCCCTCTTTCCCTTATTTTCTTCTCTTCCTTCCTTCTCTTCCTCTTGCCTTCCTTCCCCCTTTTTCTTTTCCTCCTTCTTTCTCTCCTTTCTTCCTTCTCTCTTTCCTTCCTTCCGTCTTTCCTTCTTTCCTTCCTCTTTCTCTCCTTCGTTCCTTCCCTCCTTCCCTCCTTCCTTACTTTTTTCTCTTCTTCCTTCCTTCCTTCTCTTCTTCCTTCCTTCCCCCTTTTTCTTTTCCTTCCTTTTTCTCTCCTTTCTTCCTTCTCTACCTCTTTCCTTCCTTCGCTTTTTGCTCCCACCCTTCATTCTCTCTTTTCTTCTTTCCTTCTCTCCTCTTTTTTCCTTTTTCCCTCCTCCTCTCTTTTTTCTCCTTCTTCCTTTCCTTCTCTACCTCTTTCCTTCCTTTCCCCCCTTTTTCTTTTCCTTCTCCTTTCTCTCCTTTCTTCCTCCTCTACCTCTTTCTTCCCTTCTCTCTTTCCTTCCTCTTCTTCCTTCCTTTTTGTTCAGTTTTATCATTTAGCTTTCCATCATTTAGCTTTTGGGGGTTTTTAAGTCCTTTCTGCCGTATTTATAGGGGAAGAGGCTTATGAGTGATGGTCACTCGTTTATTTATTTATTTATTTACAACATTTATATGCCGCCCTTCTCACCCCGAAGGGGACTCAGAGCGACTTACGATATAGGCTCATGCGATTTTGGGCTACACCCAAAGGATACTTACACACACACACACATATATAAATAAAAATGTAATGTTCGTTTGTGGGATTAACAGAACTCAAAAACCACTGGGGGAAATGACACCAAATTTGGACACAATACACCTAACAACCCAATGTATGTCCTTCACTCATAAAACACCGAAAAACACAGCAGAAGGGACTTTAAAAGCCCCCAAAAGCTAAATGACGAAAAACTAAATGATAATAAGAAAGAGAAAGAAAGAAAGAAAGGACAAGAAAAGAGGGAGGAGGGAGGAGGGAGGGAAGAAAGAAAGAAAGAAAGAAAGGAAAGGGAAGGAAAGAGAAAGAGAGAAGAAGGAAGGAAGGAAGAAAGAAGGAAGGAAAGAGGGAGGGAAGGAAAGAGAGAAGGAAGAAAAGAGAGACAGCAGAAGAGAAAGAAAAAGGGGAAAGGAAGGAAAGAGATAGAGAAGGATGGAAGAAGAGAAGGAAAGACAGGAAGGAAAGGAGGAAGTGACGGAAGTAGGGAAAGAAGGAGAGAAAGAGGGAAGGCTGGCCACAGCAACGTGTGGCGGGTACAGCTAGTATATTATATTATTAGTATAGTAAAATATCAGTATTATATATTACTATATTGTACTATACCATTATATTGTAATATCATTAGTGATATTACATCTAATATAAATATATAATTATAATATTGTATTATTAGTAGATTATATTGTATTACTTTATAATATTATAGATATTATATGTATATACAATATATCGGTCCGTTAGGGGTCTAGTGTCCAAATTCCATGTCAATTTGTCCAGTGGTTTTTGGGTTATGTTAATCCCACAAAGGAACATTACATTTTGATTTCTATAGGTAGATAATACTCCAGAGGGGCAGGATCAGGATTCAAAAGGACCTCAACAGACTAGAGAGTTGATTGGCCCAAAAGTAACAACAAGGAGAAATGTAAGAGACACCCATAGGCACAAAGAAAGGAAATGCCTAGATCCAGGATGGGGGACACCTGGCTGGACAACAGCCTTTCTCTCCTTTCTTCCTTTTCTACCTCTTTCCTGTCTTCCATCTCTTCCATCAAGAGCCAAGAGTGTGATGCTGCAGCTCAATAGGCCCATGCGATTTTGGGCTGCACCCAAAGGAGTCGAGTGCCTAGATCCAGGGAAGTCACCTTATTCTTCGAAGCTAAGGAAAGTTCAGAGGGGGGAGGACTCACCATAAGGTCCAACGGTGGTGGAGGAAGGAGAATCCGCCCCCTCCTTGCCTCCCATGCCTTCCAGGGAAAGAGCAAGAGGCGAGGGTGGCTCCGAGCATGCCAAGCGGGAAGGAGCTCTGAGCCCGAACGCAGAGCAGCCCAACGATCTGATTTGCAACCTGTTGCTCAGCAGCCGGAGGTTCCTCCCTCTTGGCCTCCCTCCCTCCCCCCCCCCCCCCCCCCCACCTGGGCCACGCCCTTTCCCCAACACAGCTAGACCAAGCACCCCACTCCCCCATATCCCACCCCCAGGCTTCTTTCTCTGATTGTGAATTGATTCTGCCATTTGAAATGACTGATGACAAGAGACACACAGCTTAAGCGGCTGAGGGGGAAAAGGAAGGGGTCTGAGGCTGTTAGGAATTGTGGGAGTTGAAGTCCAAAACACCTGGATGGCCAGTTTGCCCATGCCTGGTTTATAGTGACAGATACTGGCTTGTTCAGTAGACTCTCCTCTACAGTTCCATTGTGGCGGGAAGCCTTAGCATTGAATGGTTGTGTTGTTAAAGTGCGAAGTATGGAACCCTGCGCAGATGGTCAGTCAATGCGACTTAATTCCTCAACAGATGGCAGGACTGGTATGCGACACTGAACTGGCTTGTTCAGTAGACTCTCCTCTACAGTTCCATTTTGGCAGGAAGCCTTAGCATTGAACAGTTGTGTTGTTAAAGTACGAAGTATGGAACCCTGCACAGACGGTTGGTCAATGTGACTTAAATTCTTGACAGCAGAAGGTGTCACCCCAAAGAAGATTCATCAGAGAATGCAAGCTGTTTATGGTGATTGTGTTGATGTGAGTACTGTGCATCGTTGGGCCAGTAAGTTTAAAGATGTTGAGGTGACACCTTCTGCTGTCAAGAATTCAATGACTGTACGTTGCTTAAGTCGCATTGACTGACCATCTGCGCAGGGTTCCATACTTTGCACTTTAACAACACAACCGTTCAATGCTAAGGCTTCCTGCCAAAATGGAACTGTAGAGGAGAGTCTACTGAACAAGCCAGTACCTGCCGCATACCAGTACTGCCATCTGTTGAGGAGTTACGAAGGTGGAGGCATTACTTTTCATTGAACCCTCTTAAGTTTCCAAACGGGTTTCCAGAGGCAACACCATACACACATCACCAATAAAAAAATACCTATCTTCTATATCAATAAAAATGTAATGTTCGTTTGTGAGATTAACATAACTCAAAAACCACTAGACGAATTGACATCAAATTTGGACACAATACACCTATCAGGCCGAGTGACCATTACTCATCAAAAAATTGGAAAACACAGCAGAAGTTTTCTGTTCCTGGTATGAAAGTGTTGTTTCCTGTTTAATTGTGCGGTACTTACTTTGTTATACTCCAAAAACTTCATAGTTTTTATACTTCCAAAAACTTTGAAACTACTACTTTCAAAGTAAGTATTGCACAATTAAACAGGAAACAATACTTTCAATCCAGAAACAAATTTCTTTCAAAGTTTGTTACATAGTCTTATAATTATTATTTTGAGTGCGTGTTTTATTTTTGGCTTTCTATTTTGTTATTTTTAAGACATTTAGCTATAATCTTGTTGTATAAGAATTTTGCGGTTGTGTAGTTAGTTGTATGGAGCCCCTGGTGGCGCAGTGGGTTAAACACTGAGATGCTGAACTTACAGACCGAAAAGTAACAGGTTTGAATCCGGGGAGCGTTGTGAGCTCCTACTGTTAGCCCCAGCTCCTGCCAACATAGCAGCTCAAAAACATGCAAATGTGAGTAGATCAATAGGTACCACTCCGGTGGGAAGGTAACGGCGCTCCATGCAGTCATGCCAGCCACATGACCTTGGAGGTGTCTATGGACAACGCTGGCTCTTCAGCTTAGAAATGGAGATGAGCACCACACCCCAGAGTCAGACATGACTGGACTTAATGTCAAGGGACTACCTTTACCTAGGGGGGTGGGGGACTTGGGGAGCTTCAGCCCCCCCCCTGAAATTCTCATGGTGGTCTGTGAAAAGGCCTTACTGGTACATTATTTAAACTGTTATGTTTATTCATATCATGATCTGATCATCATGCTCAATATATCTCATATGCATGGGGGTATTGGGGTAACGATACAAAAGGTTTGCTAGGGTAGACCCTCTTTCACTCAGACTCAGCCCCCCCCCCCCCCGAATCAAAATCCTGGCTACGGGCCTGTTGTCAAGGGGAAAATCTTTACCTTTACTAGTTAGTTGTATATATCTCAAATATTTGCTTGTTTTGCTTTTCTTGAATAATTACTTTTAAAAAAGTGACAACATATCTGTACGTTACTGGCTTCCTTGCTAAAGCCCTGTGAAGTAAGTGAGGTGGGTTGTGTTGCAATTTTTGAACAGGTTGTTTGTATTCTGCAGTTCCTCAAAAGGAGTCCTAAGAAAAGGGGTGTTTTACTTTGAGATCTTGATATGGCTGAATAAGCCAAGGAGACATGGCTCCCCCTCCTGATCATCTCCTTAGGACTTCTGTTTCTCACATTCAAACACAGAAACAGATCCAGAATCCAGAAAAGGCACTTCTTGTTGTCCCTATTGAGCTATGATCAGCAGAGGGAGTCAGTCCCCTTAAACAAGCGAGAGCTGCAACAAAGTCTTGCACGTTGCGTGTTCCCATTCCAGGTTCCAGCCTTCTTCCAGAATACAGTTGTGGGCTTCACTTTTACGGATGCTATTACACTATGCAACACAATTTTTGTTCCTGGATTATAAATGTCATTTTATAATTGGTTCTATCATAGAAACATGGGGAAAGTTTATTAAACACAAAAGTTTGTTTTTGCAGAACATCCTGCAGCACATTTTGGTCTAGTTTTTCAATGACTATCTCGTAGAGTCTCAACCAAATCACAATAGTTAGTGGCAGGCACAAAAATGAAGTTTCTGGAGTGTAACAACTACTTTCAAAGTAAGTACTGCACAATTAAACAGGAAATAACACTTTGAAACCAAGAACAGATTCCCCCCCCCCAAATATTGTAATGTCACCCTTTGGCAGCATATGTTATGCTATTTTTCAGGCTCTCTTATGCCCAGGTTGCATAGACAAATTGAAGACATTTTTATTTAAGGCAGGTTTTGAGACACTAGAAGCAAAAGCTGACTAAACTGAGACTGTGGTACTTTGTCCGTATCATGAGAAGACATGATCTAGACCAGTGGTTCTCAACCTTCCTAATGCTGCAACCTCATAATACTGTTCCTCATGTTGTGGTGACCCACAATCATAACATTATTTTCGTTGCTACTTTATAACTGTAATTTTGCTACTGTTGTGAATCGTAATGTCAATATCTGATATGCAGAATGTATTTTCATTCACCAGACCAAATTTGGCACAAATACCCGACACACCCCAATTTGAATACTGGTGGGGTTAGGACGAGATTGATTTTGTCATTTGGGAGTTGTAGTTGATGGGGTTTATACGAGGGTTGAATGAAAAGTAATGCCTCCACCTTTATAACAGACGGCAGTACTGGTATGCGGCAGGTACTGGCTTGTTCAGTAGACTCTCCTTTACAGTTTCATTTTGGCAGGAAGCCTTAACATTGAATGGTCGCGTTAAAGTGCAAAATATGGAACCCTGCGCAGATGGTCGATCAATGCGATTTAAGCAACGTGCAGTCATTGAATTCTTGACAGCAGAAGGTGTCACCCCAAAGGAGATTCATCAGAGAACGCAAGCTGTTTATGGCAATTGTGTTAATGTGCATCGTTGGGTGAGTAAGTTTAAAGATGTTGATATGGGAACATCTGACTTGCGTGACAAACAAAGAGTTGGACATCTTGTGACAGCAACCACCGAGTTTCACAAGCAAAAGGTTGACAGATTGATTCAGGACGATCGTCGTATAACTCAGAGAGAAATTTCAAGCATAATCAGCATTTCACAAGAACGTGTGGGTCACATTATTGCTTTGCTTGGCTATCGGAAGATCTGTGCACGATGGATACATTGAGAGAATTGTGAGATGCTGGTTGCGGAAACAGTGTCAACTTCTTCCAGGACGGCTTCAGAAAACTTGTTCATTGGCAGAAATGTATCCAATTGTCTGGTGATTATGTGGAAAAGTGAATAGTGGTAGTTAAAGAGCACATTCTAAGGATTATTTCTGCGTTTGATTTATTAAAATATTCCCATCCAAACCCAAGTAATGAAGGTGGAAGCATTACTTTTCATTCAACCCTTGTAGTTCACCTACAATCAGAGCATTCTGAACTCCACCAACGAAGGAATTGAACCAAACTTGGCACACAGAACTCCCATGACTAACAGAAAATGCTGGCAGGGTTTGGTAGCTATTGACCTTGAGTTTTGAGTTGTTGTTCACCTACAGCCAGAGAGCACTGTGGAGTTTGAGAGTTGTAGTTCATAGATCTGGGCCAAACTTGGCATGAATACTCAATATGGCCAAATGTGAACACTGGTGGAGTTTGGGGAAAATAGACCTTGACATTTGGGAGTTGTAGTTGCTGGGATTTATTGTTCACCTACAATCAGAGAGCATTCTGAACCCCACCAACGATAGAATTGGGCCAGACTTCCCACACAGAACTCCCATGACCAGCAGAAAATACTGTGCTTTGATGGTTTTTGGCAACCCGTCTGACACCTCATGACCCTTCTCCCCAGGTTGAGAAACGCTGAATCACTGGCTGTTAGAGGAGTTGTGGGAGTCCAAAACACTCTGAGGACTGAAGTCTGCCCATGCCTGCTCTAAGGAGATGCCCAAGAATAGAGCTTCTTAATGTTTTCTACTTGTGACCCATTTCTGCCTGGGATTTTTTACATGATCCTGGGTATACAAGTATATAAATAGTTCTAAAAATCAAACATTTACTGATAATAAATCAGCGTTTGCAAGACTTCCTAAACAGGCTGATTTTCCTTTTCATGAGGTATGGCTGAAGCATTTTCTGCAGAGTCCTTCCTAAACCCTGCACAACAAATTCATGTAAATGTCTAAAACAGCCACTAGGTGGAGTTTAGAAATTTTGTACTGTCATAGCAGGATCAAGCGTGTGTTAAAGAAAACCTTATGATGTTAATTATTATGTGCAGCTGGTAATGTAGGTCAGCCAGCATGTTTGGACCACACCCAATGGGATATACCGTATGGTTTTTAGAATACAGTTTGAAGAAGTAATACGCTACTCTGAGGAAGAGAAGCAATATGCTTTAATGCTGCTATGCTCTAACAGCGATGCTCTTTGCTATGGTGGAATAGCTATTTACTCAAGGTTTATGTTTTGCTCCCTCATTTGTTTTTGTTTTTTTTTTGGTCGTGTCAGGAGCAACCTGAGAAACTGCAAGTTGTTTCTGGTGTGAGAGAATTGGCGGTCTGCAAGAACGTTGCCCAGGGGATGCCCGGATGACTTGATGTTTTATCATCCTTGTGGGAGGCTTCTCTCATGTCCCCACGAGGAGCTGGAGCTGACAGAGGGAGCTCATCCGTCTCTCCCCGGATTCGAGCCTGCAACCTGTTGGTCTTCAGTCCTGCCGGCACAGGGGTTTAACCCACTGCGCCACCGGGGGCTCCTCTCATTTGAGTGAAGATGAAGAAGCCTTATTCTGTGTTACTTACAAGGACTATGTAAGTTTGTTGCGCTGTTTGATATTGTATGCAATACTGCAAGTTTGTGCCTCTGCTGATAAGAATAAAGTTTTCTTGTTCCTTTTTCCTCTTGCCTGTGTGTCTTTTGCATGGGACTTGGCTAAAATCCGCATCTGTGCAATAAAGTTTTCGTGTGCTTACGAGACCCCATTTGGGGTCAGGATCCATAATTCAAGAAGCACTGATCTAAACACCTGGCCAAGGAAGATGGGTACGCAACTTAGCACTTAACTGGATGCCTCACACTGTCCCAGGCAGAAGAAATGGAATAGGAATGAGAGAAAACACACCATCCAACTCAACTTCCTTTTTGTTTGTATCAAAATCATCAGATGCCAACATTTATTGGTTTTTGTGGCCCCAGGAAAAAAAATTACAGTTTTAAAAAAAATCCTCCAAATGTGAAAATCCATAGAAAAAGAGATAGGAAAGAGAAGGAAGGGACGGAGAGAAAGAGAGAGAAAAGTATCGTCTCTAAAGGTGAACCAGACTTCTGCTGCTGCTCCAGACATTGAAAAGGAAGAAGAAACTCTGACAACTGCAGCCTTTGAAATGCGAGGCACCAACACAAAAATAAATCATTATCGAAAAGAGAGGAGAAAAAAAAACATTAACTTGGACAAGAGGTGGAGAAAAGCCCTATGCGCACAAGTTGTTTTCTGCCCAATCAGATAAGTTAAAAGGGAGAACATAAATACTCACATTGTTCCAACCACCCTGGGAACATAACCGTTGCCCCTCCTGTTCCTACACTGAGTCTGCACACAGCAATGACCTGCCAAGCCATCTTATATATGGCAAAAGCAGGAGAGCTATCTTATTTTTAGTAACTATTATCACAGAGCGAGAACAGTGGGTTTTTCCTAAACCTGTATGGCAAGGAGTGTGCAAATTCCTCAGCTGCAGATTGGTAAAACTCAGGGAATACATGCCTTGCTTAGGCAAAGCAAAAGGGCGTTTACAGGAGCAGGATTCAGGGGATGTAGAAATAGGACACTTCCATGTTGTCCACTCCCATTCTAGTTAGTGACCCAGTGTCATGACCTTATTTCCTGGTTTTGTGAGAAGCCAGGAAATTAGGCCATGCCTTAGACCTGTCCTGTGTATATTTGAAATCTGGAAGAGGGTAGAAATGGGAAGGAATGCAGGGGAGGGGCCAGGGTGAGGAAACTAAACTGTCAGTTGGAACTTTGTTGCATTCCCTAATGCATGCTTTTAAATTAAAGCCTTCCAACTTTCTTTGTGAGGTAATTATGTCACCAGAAATCTACAGATCTGGACACCTGGGGGCATTGTTTTGTTTTGAAGCTGATTCATACAACTAGTGACACTTAGAGCTATCGTGGAGACTACTGTTGACCACCTTGGAAATACTGGACACACATCAGATATTTTGATAGGAGGCAGGGTTACAACAGTTTTCTGCAGAAGTTGTGACCAAAGTAGAAAGAGGCAACAGAGAGTGAGAGAGGCTCCTGGCTCTCCAATTCGAAAAAATATTTTCTTACCAAAAACTGAACATTTGACTTGGTTCCAAAATAATGGAAAGGCTGCATACATACATACATACATACACACACACACACTCACATACACACATTTTCCAGCAGGCAATTTCGCTCAGACGTCTCTTTGATGCAAAGGGTTTCCTTCCCTTCAGAGAAGATGGCCTTTCCTCTATTTTCTCTCTTTCTTTCACTTCTAAAATTGGGGCATCTTTCTCTCTTCTCTTTCCACCAACTGGATGCTTCCTCCAAGGCCAGGTGTCGGTTTCATGAGGCCTTCCAATTGCTGTGGGATTGCAAGCTCCAGCAGTCTCCCAAGTCAGAATCGCCAATGGGGAAGAATGCTGGGAGATGCAGTTCAGCATCATCTGTAAAGTCTCATCATCACACCTCTATTTGAGGAGAGAAACGCATGGAGAACGGAAGCCTTGCATCTGGCACATCTGGCCTTAGAGGACCTGCCCAGAGTTGGGGACGAATGTGGGGCTGAGGTGGGGAATTTGGAGGAAAGAGTCCCAAAGTCCAGGATTGGCAGCTGGGTCTTGGCTTCGGCTAGGCTTGAGTGACAGGAAGGCTGCTGCTATCAGGCAAGGCGTCCTGGTGGGCCTCAAGGCGAGCAAGGCGGCTCTGCTCCAGAGCAATGGCCTCGGCCGAATGTTTGCACTTCTCCGAGCCACACTGGCATGTGAAGTACTTGCTCTTGATATCCCAGAAGCGGTCGCCATAGTCAAACCTGCAGTTCAGAGAAGAAAGAAAAAGTGTAAGAGGGCTTTCTTTTGCGGCAGAAAAATGTGTCCTTTCTAGTGTGCTGCCCACCAGATTTTTTGGACTACCACTCCTATTATGTCTGACCCACCAGCCAGGCCAGCTAAAGCAGTCTAAAGAATGTGGAGGAAACTGTATCCGAGAAGGCTACAATAAGGGATTTCATGTGCGCTGAGAGGTCCCAGTATCTATAGGTTGGGCTTTGACTGAGGAAGCCTGGAGATAAACTTTCACTCGCTTAACATAGCATTTTAGATGAATCATAGAATTGAAAGAGGTCACCCAGTCCAACCCCCTGCCAAGCAGCAGGAAAGTCACATTCAAAGCACCCCCGGCAGATGGCCATCCAGCCTCTGCTTAAAAGCCTCCAAAGAAGGAGCCTCCAGCACACTTCGGGGCAGAGAGTTCCACTGTTGAATAGCTCTCACGGTCAAGAAGTTCTTCCTAATGTTCAGTCACTGTAATTTGAAGTAATTGCTCCGCACGTCCTAGTCTCCAGGGCAGCAGAAAACAAGCTTGCTCCCTCCTCCCTATAACTTTCCCTCACAAATTTAAACAAGGCCCTCATCATGTCTCCTCTCAGCCTTTTCTTCTGCAGGCTAAACAGCCCAGTTCTTTAAGCTGCTCCTCATAGGGCTTGTTCTCCAGACCCGTGATCATTTGAGTCGCCCTCCTCTGGACACATTCCAGCTGAGAGTCAACACCTCCCTTCAGTTGTGGTGCCCAGTGTGGTCTGACAAAGGCAGACTAGAGGGGTAGCGTGACCTCCCTGGATCTAGACATTAGACTCCTATTGATGCAGGCCAACATCCCATTGGCTTTTTAAACTGTCATATTACATTGTTGGCTCATGTTTAACTTGTTGTCCAGAAGGATGCCAAGATCTTTTTCACACGTACTGCTCTTGAGCCATGCATCTTCCATTCTGTGTCTTTGCATTATATCTTTTGCCTAAGTGGAGTATCTTGCATTTTTCCCTGTTGAACTTCATTTTGTTAAGTTTTGGACAATCGTCTCTCTAATCTGTTCAGATCATTTTAGAGTCTGCTCCTGTCCTCTGGAGTATTGGCTCTCCCTCCCAATTTGATGTTGTCTGCAAACTTGGGTGATCCTGCCTTCTAACCATCTAAGTCATTAATAAAGATGTTGAACAGGATCAGGACCAGGAGGAAACCCTGCTGATGGCACTCCACTCGTCACTCGTCAATACTTAAGCCAAGTATTCCATCCTTAATTGACACTCAAAGGGACATTTCAATATTTTGCAGGGAAGAATCTTTCTATCATTATAGTTTCATAGAATCATAGAGTTGGAAGAGACCCCATGGGCCATCTAATCCAATCCCATGCCATATTTTGCATGGTGTTTTACTATTGCTGTATTGACTTCAGCAGAAATGAAAGCAACACAGTCCTCCAAGTAGTGGACTAAAATCTGCAAAATTTGTCAGCAAGTCCCAGCAACCCTATGATGGCTAGAATTGCTAAGACTTGCAATTCAAAACATCTTGGAGGACTGCATGTCTCTCACTCTGAAGTGCCTGGAAATTTGTTTCAAAAGCCTTTCCCAAACTCTGGTCCTACTATGAGAGTACTATGTTTTTATAGTGGGATATGAAATCGTATATGCTGGGGTTAGGTTCCAGGACTACCCCACCAGCCGTGGATACCAAGACCTATGGATGCTCAAGTCCCATCATATACAATGGTGTAGTATCTGATTTCACTATGTAAGACAATTTTTGTTCCTGGGTTATGAGTATCATTTCCTAATTGGTTCTATCATAAACACATGGAAAAAAAGGTTGGAGGCTTGAATCTTGGCAGAGCAGGTTGAGCTCCCTCTGTCAGCTCCAGCTTCCCATACGGAGACATGAGAGAAGCCTCCCACAAGGATGGCAAAACATCAAACATCTGGGTTTGGCCAACATCCTTGCAGACGGCCAATTGTCTCACACCAGAAGTGACTTGCAGTTTCTCAAGTTGCTCCTGATGCGCGCACGCGCGCGCATACACACACACACACACACACACACACACACAACAAAAACAAGAATCTACTGACCCAAGCTCTTCGCCAGTCTGAATGTCCCGGCTGCTGAAGAAGGCAATGCGGGGGAAACGCAGGTCCTGATGCAGCATGAAGACCCGCACGGGGATGATGTTAGGGTCGCACAAATGGTTGATGAAGCGGCTGACATTGCCGTAGTAACGTGCATCAATACAGTATACCTCCCCATCCTATCCAAGGCAGCAGAAGAGGAAGGAGAGGAAGAGAGAAAGACCAGGCAAAGTTAAATTTCAAGAAGTTCAATTGGGCCAAGAAAACTCAGTGGATGGCTTTTTAAGTATACGGCTGGCCAATCTTCCTGTAGAACAGACTCAAATAATTGAATTTCCAAACCAGACTCACAAATGTGAGGGCTAACTGCTTGTTGACAGACTTATACCATATCAATTTGGGGCAGACCAAAACAATAACTTTTCCAAGCTCTGAGTTCTGTACACATTATCTGTTTGGGGTGCTTCCTGCCACTTTCAAAGGACAATTTACTCTCTCATTAAACTGACTCCCATCCAGGAAGGTGGTCAACCTTACCTTATTGTCCAAATCAAAAAGGTAGGAATCATCTTCTCTCACATCGGCCTCTGCATCAGAAATGAGTTCCCCCACATACCTGGGAAATGTACAAGGGGGAAAAGCACATGGAAAATGAATACATAACTGTCAAATAATTACTCTTTTAAGCTAGCAAATTGCTCAGTGATATGGCAATGTCAACCAACATCTGGGGGAATATTGGGTGCATACCAGGGTTTTTTGCCTTAAAAAATCCTGCTGTTAATCCTATGCAAACCTATTGTATATACTCATGTATAAATCTAGAAATTGGGACCAAAATTGACCTAAACCCTGACCTAAACCCAACATATTCACAGGCCTTTGCAATCTCTTCTAACCCAGATTCGTATCCTAACAATGACTGTGGAAAAGCACATTTCCCAGCCTAACTACTGGAAAGCAGCTGGATTTTAAGATGTTGTGTAAGTATGCTCTTAAACACAGAACAGTACATAGGCAACAATTATGCCTTGGCCATAAATCATTCTTTGACTGGACTATATTGATCTTGAAGTGAGGCACTCTCTGGTCTTGTGGCCTGGCTGAAGGGACCTCTTATTTGCTTATCTAATCAGAAATGCAAATTGGTCAGGAAGGGGGCAGTCTGAGCAAAATATAACACTAAGGAGCAAAGGATTGTTGTCGAACGCTTTCATGGCCAGAATCATTGGGTTGCTGTAGGTTTTTTCAGGCTATATGGTCATGTTCTAGAGACATTCTCTCCTGACGTTTCGCCTGCATCTATGGCAAGCTGCCTCAGAGGTAGTGAGGCCTGTTGGGATTAGGAAAAAGGGTTTATATATCTGTGGAATGACCAGGGTGAGACAAAGGACTGTTGTCTGCTGGAGCTAGGTGTGAATGTTTCAACTGACCACCTTGATTAGCATATAATGGCCTGACAGTGCCTAAAGCAAACTTTTGTTGAGAGGTGATTATATGTCCTTGTTTCTTTCCTCTCTGTTGTTATGCTGTTGTAGTTTTAGAGATTTTTTAATCCGGGTAGCCAGATTATGATCATTTTCATGGTTTCCTCCTTTCTGTTGAAATTGTCCACATGCTTGTGTATTTCAATTGCTTCTCTGCGTAGTCTGACATTGTGGTTGTGAGAGTGGTCCAGCATTTCTGTGTTCTCAAATGGCACTGTCAGGCCATTTTATGCAAATCAAGGTGGTCAGTTGAAACATTAACACCTAGCTCCAGCATACAAGAGTCCTTTGTCTCACTTTGGTCATTCCACAGATATATAAACCCTTTTTCCTAGTTCCAACAGACCTCACTACCTCTGAGAATGCTTGTCATAGATGCAGGCGAAACATCAGGAGAGAATGCCTCTAGAACATGGCCATATAGCCCGAAAAAACCTACAACAACCCAAAGGATTGTTTTCTTCGTCTTCCTTTTAAGACTCCTCAAACTGGAAGTGATACATGGAGAGTTTGTTTTTGAAGGTGAAACAGTTACTTAGTTTATTTGTATCATTTTTATGGTATAAGCGTAGTGGTTACATAAGATCAATTGCTTGCTGCTTACAGAACAATGTTTCAATATGAGTTTCCCTCAATCTATTCTTTTCTTCCAAAAGAACTGTTATGCAAATACATAACAACAGGTTTCAAACTATCTTTAACTTGTTTCTTTAACCAATTTTCCAGCTACTCTTCAGCTATTTCCTTCCAGACCCTAACTCACTGACTAACTACTGTTCTCTGGGTAACACAAAATGGCTGTTCGCCCGCCAGTCCTTTAAGGTAGGTCACTTATTCACTTTTTAAAGCAAGCGACATTTGCTACAGCATGCAACTGGTTGTGCAATTGTGCAAACCCAAATATGGCTTGTATAGTCCTATGTCAGCATAAATGTATGTTATGCAGTTACCATATATAATCCAGTCATCCATGGCTTGGGAGAGAGGAGGATGTCACGGTATCCATAACTAGCAGTAAAAATATAACAACAGGAATGTAAATCTAACCATTGACAAAGCAAGTAATACTTGAATGCCCTTTCCTGCTATTCCTAATCTCTATGGCTCAAGGCAAATGTGTTCTTCTGCAAAGGGGTAAAGCCAGCCTTGGGAAGAGATCTCTGAAGACTCGGAAAAGTGGAGGGAGGTCTCCCTCTCTGCAATGACCACTCACTCGCATATGAAAGTCCCTTGAGGGATCGTCTGCAGCGCTCGGACACCCCAGCCCATTTTGGCAGTGCGATACAGCTGTAAACGGACCCTGCGATGGAGGAAGACACAAGAGAACAAGGCAGAAGACTTAGTTTGGATGACTGGAAAGGCCAGAGATTCGAAAATGGTGAATGGCGACAACAGATCTTTAGCTAATGAACTAGGTTTGTGGCATAGCAGATACTAATATATTATACATTAACTAATAATATTAGTGGTTGGATATATAGACACGTAGTAGACATATAGAGGTGATACGAATCATCACACATAATTGTATTAGACATGCTCTTGCGTAGCAGCTCCTCCATATCCACAGATTCTGCATCCACAGAGTCAACCATTGATGCCTTGAAAATATTTTTAAAACATTCCCCAAAGGAAACCTTGGTTTTCCCATTTTTATAAGAGGGCACTATATTACTATGCCACTGAGAATCTGTGGATTTTGGTATCCACTGGGAAGGAGCTGATGTCCTGGAACCAAATTTTAGCAGATGCCAAGTGACCACTGTAATGTTTTCTTTTAGCTCATGCTAAAATAAATAAGTTACCATACATACTAGAGCAGGGGTCCTCAAACTAAGGCCCAGGGGCCGGATACGGCACTCCAAGGTCATTTACCCGGCCCTCACTCAGGGTCAATCTAAGTCTGAAACCACTTGAAAGCGCACAACAACAACAACAACAATCCTATCTCATCAGCCAAAAGCAGGCCCACATTTCTCATTGAAATACTAATAAGTTTATATTTGTTAATATTGTTCTTAGTCTTAATTATTGTATTGTTTTTCCGTGTTTTTTGCACAACAAATAAGACATGTGCAGTGTGCATAGGAATTAATTTGTGTTTTTTTCAAATTATAATCCAGCCCTCCAACTGTTTGAGGGACTGTGACCTGGCCCGCTGTTTAAAAAGTTTAAGGACCCCTGTTACTAGAGTATAACCTAACCCAAACATAAGCTGAGGCACCCAATTATACCACAAAAAACTGGGAAAACGTATTGACTTGAGTATAAGCTAAGGGTGGGAAATGCAGCAGCTGGTGGTAAATTTCAAAAATAAAAATTGTCTCTGCCTCTTTTCTTTTCTTTTCTTTTCCTTCTTTCCTTCCTTTCTGTCTGTCTCTCTTTCTGTCTGTCTGTCTTCCTTTTAATTACTCCACTCCGCTTTGATTTCTCATTTTCTGTCCTGGGCCCGGTCCTGGTTCAACATCTTTATTAGAGACTTAGATGAAGGGTTAGAATGCATGATCATTAAGTTCGCAGACAGGATCAAATTGGCAGGGATAGCCAATACCCCAGAAGGCAGGAGCAGAATTCAAAACAATCTTAACAGATTGGAGAGGTGATTGTCCAAAACTAGCACAATGAAGTTCAATAGGGACAAATGCAAGATACTCCACTTAGGCAGAAAAATAAAATGCAAAAATACAGAATGCCTGGCTCTACAGCTGAACTTGTGAAAAAGATCTTGGGAGTCCTTGTGGACAACTAGTTAAACATGAGCCAACAATGTCATGTGGCAGCTAAAAAAGCCAATGGAGATTTTGGCCTGCATCAATAGGAGTCTAGTGTCTAGATCCAGGGAAGTCATGCTGCCCCTCTATTCTGCCTTGGTCAGACCACACCTGGAATATTGTGTCCAACTCTGGGCATCACAATTGAAGGGAGATGTTGACTCTAAGCTGGAATATATCCAGAGGAGAGCGACTAAAATGATCAAGGGTCTGGAGAACAAGCCCTATGAGGAGCGGCTTAAAGAGCTGGGCATGTTTAGCCTGAAGAAGAGAAAGCTGAGAGGAGAACTAAAATCAACTTCTGAGATTTAGGATATTGTGGGAAGGCTCACTTGATGCCACTCTGCACAACCCGGTTCTTGCAGTTCCTCCAGCAAGTGCAGGCCTGGTTACATTCAAAGATCAAAGGCGGTTCAATCTTGTTAAACTCTTGCAGTAAACGTCCATCCTGAAAGGAGAGCAACAAGAAGGTATGTTAGCCAATATGCTGTTGCGGCAACAGCTTTTTAATCCCATGCTCCCACATCTGTGGCCTCCATTCTTCTATTTTATTTTACTTTGTATTGTCGAAGGCTTTCATGGCCTGAATCACTGGGTTGTTGTAGGTTTTTTCGGGCTATATGGCCATGTTCTAGAGGCATTCTCTCCTGACGTTTCGCCTGCATCTATGGCAAGCATCCTCAGAGGTAGTGAGGTCTGTTGGAACTAGGAAAGGGTTTATATATCTGTGGAATGACCAGGGTGGGAAAAAGGACTCTTGTCTGCTGGAGCTAGGTGTGAATGTTTCAACTGACCACCTTGATTAGCATTTGATGGCCTAGCAGTGCCTGGAGCAAACTTTTGTTGAGAGGTGATTAGATGTCCTTGTTTGTTTCTCTCTGTTGTTGTGCTGTTGCAATTTTAGAGTTTTTTAATACTGGTAGCCAGATCTTGTTCATTTTCATGGTTTCCTCCTTTCTGTTGAAATTGTTTACAAGCTTGTGTATTTCAATGGCTTCTCTGTGTAGACTGACAAGGTGGTTGTGAGAGTGGTCCAGCATTTCTGTGTTCTCAAATAAAATGCTGTGTCCAGGTTGGTTCATCAGGTACTCTGCTATGGCTGATTTTACTTTTTTCTTTTTTTCTCTATCTTTTGTTTTCTTTGCTATTGTCTTTGATTTTGTGACAAGTAAATGTTACTTTCACAAATAATGTATACCCCTTTCACAACCCCCCTAATAAAGATTATTTTTTTAAAAAAGCCTGCCTGAATAGAAAGGTTTTAGGCTGCCACTGGTACAACAGCAGGAAGGGGGGTGTTTTGGCTTCCCTGGGAAGAAGGAAGTTCCAGAGAAGAGGGGTATTTGCTACCCAGAAGAAAGGAAGACCTGCTCTCTCTCTCTCTCTCTCTCACTCTCATTCCCACCAACTGAGCTTGAGATAGAGATGGGACCGAGAGAAGGGCTCTCCTGAAGGGGATCTCAGGGCACTGGCAAGTTTGTACAAAGGGATGCTGTCAGCCAAATAGTCTGGACCTGGACCTGAACCATTTAGGGCTTTAAAGGTCATAATCAGCAACTTGAATGAACCACCCAACCCGAGTGCTCACCTTGTCGTACCAGCAGCGGATGCTGAGCTGGCCACACAGACAGTTGCTGGAGGAGCAGTCATCCTGGCAGGTGCAATGCTGGGAAGTGAAAAAAGGAGGAGAAGTGAGACACACCTTGGGGATTACAGCGAGGTAATAGTACAGACAGCCTTCTCAATGGCCTCTCCCATCCTTCAGGCATCTGCTTATCCAAAATAATAAAACCTTCTTGGTATTACGTGTTGTGCAGAAAGCGGATTCTAGCCAACGTCCCAGGTCCAAATGCACAAGACTCACAGACAAGAGGAAAAATGAACACAAAAATCTTTACCTTTAATAGCAGAGATGAAACATAAACTTGCAATGCTGCATACAAAAATCAAACAGTGCAAGAAACGTATATAGTCCTTGTAAGTGATCTGCTGCCTAGTGTGGAACACATCTCACTACACTAAAACAGTAGATGTGGCTCTTAATGAGATATGCTGCATTATCACGGGGTGTCTGCACCCTAAACCACTGGAGAAATTACACTGTTTAGTTGGTATTGCACCACCTGACATCCGCTGAGAAGTAGCAGCCAATAGCGAAAGGACCAAGGCACTGACATCTCCAGCTCATCCCGTTTGGGTATCAGCCAGCATGCCAACGACTTAAATCAAGAAATAGTTTTCTAAGATCTACAGAGACACTCACTGGAACACCTCAGCAAGCGAGAGTCCAAAAGTGGCAGGCTCAAACCCAGCACCTCAATCCGTGGGTGATACCAAATGAGAGACTCCCCCCTGGGCACACAGAAAACTGGGTGACTTGGAAGGCGCTGAACAGATTGCGCTCTGGCACCACGAGATGCAGAGCCAACCTTCAGAAATGGGGCTACCAAGTGGAATCCACAACATGCGAGTATGGAGAAGAGCAAACTACAGACCACCTGCTGCAATGCATCCTGAGCCCTGCTATATGTACAATGGAGGACCTTCTTGCGGCAACACCAGAGGCACTCCAAGTGGCCAGCTACTGGTCAAAGGACATTTAATCAACTACCAAGCTTGCAAATTTTGTGTTCTGTTTGTTTGTTAAAAAATGCAATACAACTGTTTGGCTTGCTCCTGACACGATAAATAAATAGTCCTTGTAAGTATCACAATATAAGGCATCTTCAATCAAATGAAAGAGCAAAACATAAATAGCTATTCCACCATAGCCTCCTTTAGAGCAGTGTAACAGCTTCTCCAAACGACTCCCCTAAGCAAAGCCTTTGAGCATAGAGCTCCTCAGAGCAAAAGCTAAACTGTATTCAAAAACCCATACAGTTATACCCCACCGGGTGTGGCCCAAGCTTGCTGATTGACCTACATTACCAGCTGCATATAACAATTACCATCATAAGGTTTTTCTTCAACACACACACACTTGGTCCTGCTACGACTTAGTGTAACATTACAGACCTCACAGTAATATACAGCAGCCCCACATTCAAGGCAAGGGATCTGTTCCGGGATGCTTTGTGGCCCTCCTGCTGTTTGGGCCTCCAACTCCCAGAAGCCCTAACAAGCTTGTTCAACTCTCATGAATTCTGGGAGTTGAAGGCCCAAACAGCTGGAGGGTGGTTGGTGTAATACAATCTCTTTTTCTCACCTGAAATGAATGGTGTACTTGACTTCCAGACAAAAACATGCCATAGAATCACAAGTAAGGACCTAAGAAATGTTTTAAGTCTTTAGTGCAATTCTGTATTTAACTGGTGGAAGTTCCAGAGGAAATCAATCCATAGAACCGCACTGCAGACTTAGAGCTTTCTGAATTGTTTGTCGCAACACATTCATGTGTTGGTTGCAGTGTGCAGGTGTGTCACACAAACGTATGTGAATTTTATTTATTTTATCGTGTCAGTATCAACTAGACAATTGTATTACATTTTTAACAATTTTTTAACAAAAAGACAAAACAGAGTTTGCAAGCTTGGTAGTTGATTAAATGTCCTTTGACCAGTATCTGGCCACTTGGAATGCTTCTGGTGTTGCTGCAAGAAGGTCCTCCATTGTGCATGTGGCAGGGCTCAGGTTGCATTGCAGCAGGTGGTCTGGTTTGCTCTTCTCCACACTCGCATGTTGTGGATTCCACTTTGTAGCCCCATTTCTTGAGGTTGGCTCTGCATCTCGTGGTGCCAGAACGCAGTCTGTTCAGTGCCTTCCAAGTCACCCAGTTTTCTGTGTGCCCAGGGGGGAGTCTCTCATTTGGTATCAGCCACTGATTGAGGTTCTGGGTTTGAGCCTGCCACTTTTGGACTCTCGCTTGCTGAGGTGTTCCAGTGAGTGACTCTGTAGATCTTAGAAAACTATTTCTAGATTTAAGTCATTGACGTGCTGGCTGATACCCAAACAAGGGATGAGCTGGAGAACGTATGTGAAATAAGCAATGAATCGTATGTGTTGTCAAAGGCTTTCATGGCTGGAATCACTGGGTTGCTGTGGGTTTTTCGGGCTGTATGGCCATGTTCCAGAAACGTCAGGAAAGAATGCTTCTGGAACATTGCCATGCAGCCCAGAAAACCCACAGCAACCCAATAAGTCATGTATTTTTTAATTATATATTAAAGTTTTTCATGAGATACATTATGCTCCAATACATTTTGTTATTATTACAATGCATGTATCTCTTATAAGGGGATGGCTTAACCTCTGGTTTGTTAGTAAAATTGAATTACTCTGTCGCAAAATGACACATGTCTAAAAAGCATGTCACGACCCTGAAATGTTTGGAAAACCCTGACCTAGAGAAACTACTTCTTGAGCCATTGTTAGATCTTGCTGAACAATTCTGTGGCATTCGAAATGCATATAACTGAAACCGCATTCAACAAGGTTGCATAATAAGTGGGCCAACTGTATTTCTTATAGCTAAAGAGGGAAGTTGAAGGGGGTGATATTACAAGGTGTCATTTTCTGATTAAAGTAATTTAGTACATCAAAATTTATGAACTCTGGACTCATAACACCACCATTTTATTCCCTCTCTGCACCTCAAGCTCTACATTTGAAAGCTGTGTTTGGGCCAGGTGTCCTGTTTTAAAGAAATATGCATTTTTCTAATTCCAGAATCAAGAATGTTACTTCAAAAACTGGCACTTGTTAGAAAGCTAAAGCCCACACAAATACCTGCAGATGGGTGATGTTCCGATCAATATTCATGGTGGAAGTCTCGCAGTTTTCAGAGATGTATTTGTAATCTTCTGGACATGGCTCATCATCAATAGCATTGACGCAGGGAATGGGCACATTCTCATAGCCACGGGCCACATCCCTGGAAAGAGATGGTAAAAACAGTCCCTGAAGTGGCTTTCAAAATTTGCAATGCAATTCAGTAATCTTGGTTGCAGCATCCTGGAAAACTCAGTTAGAGCCATACTTAAAATTATTACTTTACATTTGCTATTTTCGTTTGCTTACTATTTTATTGGTGGGAAGCTTGATTACTCTAAATGACATAGTTTATTTTTAACTATGACAAGCAGACATAGCCAGCATTGCCCAGGTGTCGTTGGGACCACTGCTTGCCTACTTTCTCTTTTCTCCAGCTCTGAGAAGGCCAACCTCAGTGTCTCCATGATATTAATTTTCCTTCTATTTATTTTATTTATTTATTTCCTATATTTATACCCCGCTCTTCTCTCTCCAAAGGGGGACTCAGGGCGGCCTAACAAAAGCATCATACGATACTAGCATCATAAAAACAACCACAGTACAATCAAAATATTAAAAATTAAAACAACAATTAAAACAATTCATTAAGACACATCCATTAGAATTGAAATCCAAAAACCACTCCAGGTCAATTCATTGCCATAAGTTGTGTGATCTTCTTCTACTTGCTGCTCACTGATCAAACACTTGGTCCCATAACCAGGTCTTGATTTTCCTTCTCTTTTCTTTCCTTCCTTCTTTCTTTCTCTCCTTCCTTTCTCCCTTTCCCTCATACTCCTTTACCCTCTTTCTATCCTTTGTCTTCCTTCCTTTTACTTCACCACCTTTCCTTTTACCTTCTTTCTTCCTTGCCTTTCTCTTCCCTTCCTTCTCTCCCCTTTTCTTTCTCTTCCTTCCTCTTGTGTAATTTCTTCCCCCTCCCTCCCTCTCTTCTTTTTCTCTTTCTTTCTCATTTTCTCCATACACATATCACCTAGCAGCAGCCAAGATGCTTCACTTCCTTTCTTTCCCAATCCCAGATGGCCACTTCACCTATCGACAGCCCATCCTCTACCTGGCTACAGTCAATCTACTATGACCCTTCTCTTCCCCTTCTGTTTTTGGCCCAAAATGTGAAGTTCTTTTACTTCAAACCCATTAAGCATTTTAAGTTGGATAATGAAGGGTATATCTGTCAAGTCTGGTCCAGATCCATTAAGTCATGTAGAACCTTTTGTGGTATCAATGGACAAACCAACATACATAGAGAGACGCATAAAAGTCAAAGTATAGAAAGAATATATTTAAATTGTCTATTGTCTATTCCAGAAGAATAACCAAAAACCTTATGGGACCTTTCCTGATTGAATAATTTGGCACAGACTTTCATGATGATGATGGTAAAGATTTCCCCTGACATTAAGTCTAACTGTGCCCAACTCTGGGGCGTGGTGCTCATCTCCATTTCTAAGCCGAAGAGCCGGCGATGCCTGTACACGCCTCCAAAGTCATGTGGCCAGCAGGACTGCATCAAGTACAGTTAATAACAATAACAATAATAATAATACTTTATTTATATCCCGCCCTATCTTCCCAGAGGGACTCAGGGCGGATTCCAAACATAAAAGGTAACATTCAATGCCCAAACACAACAATATACCCATAGTAATGATACTTGGCAACCCAACATATAAAAACAAATTATGACTTAACGACTAAAATTAAATAAAAAACACAGCCTGTTATATCAGACATAAGACAAAACATCAAATAGAAGCATCAATTTTCCATTTCCTTGGGGGCAAGTAGATTGATCATTGCTCAAGATATCTATTGAGCCCATAGGGCGAACATTTCATGGAATGCCATTTGCTCCTGTGGACACATGTAATAGAAAGTGGCTCTAATGCAGGCATGGGCAAACTTCGGCCCTCTAGGTGTTTTGGATTTCAACTCCTACAATTCTGAACAGCATGAGTTGAAGTCCATGAGTTGACATCCAAAACACCTGTAGGGCCGACGTTTGCCCATGCCTGCTCTAATGTCATTGGATTAATGAATATACTTTGGGCTTATCAAATATGCTGAATAAGGATAAGGTCAACACCTTGGACCACTGTTTCAAAATTCAGACTTAAATATGGAGTTGGTTCATCACACCATTAGCATCAAAGCAAATATGTTTGTTTACAGACACTTACATATTGCTTTTCATTTTCTAAATCCCAAAGCATTTCACAATAGGATGGGTAAAATAAAAGACTGGCTAAACTAACAGTAACATCCACCCATCCACATTGTGGAGTGTAGGAAAACAGAAAAAGTTGGCTCTGGGGGAAGGGCATTACAATCCACAAAAAATCATACTGAAATAAACATATCAGACACAAGGGCATCACAAGCTTCTATCCTGGTTGTAAGAAAAGTTACTTCATATTATTTATTTATTATTTATTTTAAACATTTATATTCCGCCCTTCCCACCCCAAAGGGGACTCAGGGCGGAGCACAGCATATATACGGCAAACATTCAATGCCGGGACAAGAATTCATATATACATAAATAAACATTAAAAAAATTATCTCAATATTAAAATACACCATTTAAAACCGTCTTGGAGGGAAATCTTGGAGGTCTTGGTCCTGGAGGCAAACACTGGGCAATATTTTTTATCAACGCATTGGGTGCATCTACATTGTAGAATTAAATGCTCTTTGAAACCACTTCAACTGCCATGACTCAATGCTATGGAATAATGGGAACTGTAGCTTTGGTGAGGCACCAACCACTCTTTGGCAGAGGAGGCTAAAAACCTGATGAAGCCTAGATGTTTGCAATGAATGTGACGCAGACACAACCCCATAGAAGCCAATCACATGAGCATCCCTCCCATTTTGCAGAGAAGCCTACCTGCTGATGATGCGCTCAGTGCGGACGGAGCGATTCAGGATCCCCTGGCGGATTTTGCGATTGAGCTGCAGGGCAAACCACACTTCAGAGTTCTCCAGGGTCAGGTCCAAGGGCGTATCCCCTTCCTTGTTGCGCACCTCCGTGTCGGCGCCCCGCGAGAGGAACAGGCTGCGGGAAGGCGGAAGAGGGTTACGGCAAAGGCATCGGGACATCTGGCATAACCTCTCTCTCCCCCATGAATCTCAATAAGGAGGGAGCCCTGCTGACTTACAGGACACATTCATGGAAGCTCTCCCGGGCTGCGATGTGCAACGGCGTGTCTCCGTGGAAGTTGACCGCGTGGAGATCACATTGGGCGTTTAGCAGGACTTCTGCGATCTCAGCGCTTCCTGTGAAGGAGGCCCAGTGCAAGCAAATATTCTCTTCCTGTTTGGGAGAAGTGAAAAGAGTTAACAGGTGAGTAATTGTAGCAGACTTTTCCCCAGTGACTCAAGACATTCAAATATCAAAACTGAAAGTGGAAATGACGACAGTCAACCCTCCACATTCACTAGGGTTAGGGATGCAGGACCCCATCAAAGTGAAAAACTGCAAGCTCTATAACTGTTGAGATTCCCTTTAGGACATCAGCTGCAAAAGGCCACCCTACTCAATACATCACATAGTCCTAGACCAGTGGTTCTCAACCTGTGGGTCCCCAAGTGTTTTGGCCTACAACTCCCAAAAATCCCAGCCAGTTTACCAGCTGTTAGGATTTCTGAAAGTTGAAGGCCAAAACATTTGGGGACCCACAGGTTGAGAACCACTGCTCTAGGATGATGTGGCTTCTTTAGCACGATTCTACTGTCACTCTCTACTAGAAGTTGACTACAAAATGTATTAGAGGGCACAGAGACTCTCAGACAGGTGGTCTCTCTAGGGAACTCTGGGTCCATCAGTGTGATTCTATGATCCAGTGGATCTAGGGATTTCTAGAGATAACATTTTAATCAAATCTCTCAATAACGCTATGTAACGTGATTTTTGATCCTGGGTTCTAAATGCCATTTCCTAAATGATTTTATCATAAAGGCATGGAAAAGGTTTATTAAACTATAAAAACTTTGTTTTTGTGGGACATCCTGCAGCATATTTTGCTATAGTTTTTCAATGAATGGTTTGATGATGTGATTGGACGATGTTTTTAACAAGGAGTCCCTAATGATACCTGTTTTTATTGATTCTGTTATGGTTTTATTATTCAATTGTTTTATTATATTGAAATTGTATTTTATGGTCAGAAATCATATCCATAAGCCAAGATACTAACCCCACTCTCCTATTTATTTATTTACAGTATTTGTATACCGCTTTTCTCACCCCGAGGGGGACTCAAAGCAGAATTAACACAGAATAAACACAGAATAAATGGCAGCCTTTCAGATGTTAATGTAAAAGCCAGAAGATTTTTTTTTTGTTGTGTCAGGAGCGACTTGAGAAACTGCAAGTCGCTTCTGGTGTGAGAGAATTGGCCGTCTGCAAGGACGTTGCCCAGGGGACACCTGATTTGATGTTTTTATCATCCTTGTGGGAGGCTTCTCTCATGTCCCCGCATGAGGAGCTGGAGCTGATAGAGGGAGCTCATCCGCCTCTCTCCGGATTTGAACCTGCGACCTGTCGGTCTTCAGTCCTGCCGGCACAGGGGTTTAACCCACTGCACCACCGGGGGCTCCTGATGTCTAATGATAAAGAATGCAGGAGTTTTAGTCCAGCACTGGAAGGCCCGTCTAAAATGGCATGGTGGGCAGCATTCGGCCCGTGGACCTTGAGTTTGACACATGTGCTCTAGGTCCTGCAGCATAACAGAGTCACACTAGAGGACCTTGAGATTCCTTGAGATACAATTTTAATCAAATCTATTAATAATCAAATCTGCAAAAGCCAAAGCCACAAATGTGGAGGAATTACTGTAGTTCTGACTTAGAAAGCATGGTCCTTGGATGAAAGCTCCCATTCCGATGGGTGACTCCCCATCTAGCACTCTTTTGCATCAAATCTGCAAGGCTGAAGCTCATGAAACATGGCAACCAGGGAGTTCCAAACTCACATACATTGTCAGTCAAGGTGACGTCGGCTCCACGGGTGAGCAGCATGCGGATCACCTCAATGTGCTTATGCTCAGCAGCCCAGATGATGGGGGTCCAACCTCCACTGTCCTGTAACATGAGGGGAGAGACGAACATTGTGTGATGCTGTGATAACACAAGAAGGTTGCAGTGAAGATGGCACAGGAAATTATTTGGTCTTCAGAAGCTGAAGCCTGGAAATAACGAGCCATAAGTGATATGTAGACCACACCTGGAATACTGTGTCCAATTCTGAGCACAACAATTGAAGGGAGATGTTTATAAGTTGGAATGTGTCCAGAGGAGGGCGACTAAAATGATCAAGGGTCTGAAGAACAAGCCCTATGAGGAGCGGCTTAAGGAGCTGGGCATGTTTAGCCTGAAGAAGAGAAGGCTGAGAGGAGACATGATAGCCATGTATAAATGTGAGAGGAAGCTAGGGAGGAGGGAGCAAGCTTGTTTTCCCTCCTTCCCTAGGACACGGAACAATGGCTTCAAACTACAAAAAAGGAGATTCCACCTGAACATGAGGAAGAACTTCCTGACTGTGAGAGCTGTTCAGCAGTGGAACTCTCTGCCCCAGAGTGTGGTGGAGGCTCCTTCTTTGGAGGCTTTGAAACAGAGGCTGGGTGGCCATCTGTCAGGGGTGTTTTGAATGTGATTTTCCAGCTTCTTGGCAGAATGGGGTTGGACTAAATGGCTCACAAGGTCTTTTTCAACTCTAGGATTCTATGAGTTTCCATATTGGTATGTACTGTATAAGCTTTAAGCAATATACAAAAAAATCTGCAGTGGATTTCTGCAATGACAAAGACCTGGACCAGTTAACCCTTTCAAGCCTATTGTACTCCTAATCATATGCAATTGTGAGTTAAGTACCACAAATCTGAGTCAAATGCCATGTTCTGGATTTCGCAAGTGTTAGTCTTCAAGATGTTTTGGACTTCTTGCTCCAAGAATTCTTGGCTGTTGGCTGAGTTGCCTGGGGCTCCTGGGATCTGAAGCCCAAAACAATTGAAGGACATAGTTTGTGAGCCAGAGCTCTACAACACACCCTAGCATCTCTTGCAATGTGCCAAAGATCTGATAATGGATGCTTGTGTGTTCTAGCCATTTTACAATTCTACAAAAACAGAGAAAATCAAAAGGGAAAGGAAAGAATCAGATAAGGACCAATGAGAGTCCTTGTGTAGAGAAAAAGCGGGGTATAAATAAAAGTAAAAACAATAACAACAACAACAAGTCGCATTGAGGAAAAATAACAAGAAAAACTCTGCCATTATCAAGACCTCAAAATCGCACTGCAAAGGCTCTGGCAGGTGGTCCCAGTGGTCATCGGCACGTTGGGTGCTGTGCCAAAAGATCTTAGCCAGCATTTGGAAACCATAAACATTGACAAAATCACAATCTGTCAACTGCAAAAGGCCACCTTACTTGAACCTGCGTGCATCATTCGAAAATACATCCCACAGTCCTAGACGCTTGGGAAGTGTTCGACTTGTGATTTTGTGATACAAAACCAGCATAGAGATCTCATTTACTATGACATACTGTGTTTTTGTGTCAGTAAAATAGTAATGATAATCCTTCCCCCAAATCCTCACTTACCTGGGCATTGACATCCACCTGTCCTGTGGAGAGCAACAAACTGACCATTTCAACATTTCCATTCTTTGCCGCATGATGCAGGCAGGTAGAGCCATCGTCCTCCTTTGGAAGAATCATAGAAAGAGTGAAAAGTGAAATAAGAAGGTGTGTGAAGCAACCACTTTATAATCACCTAAATCATCTTTGTCGTTCTTCATCTTTGCAATGGCACCCTTCACATGCAAAAGTATCCCTAACATCATTTACTACGTTGCATGCTCTCATAGTGTATTTATTTATTATTTAAGGCATTTATACCCCATCCTTCTCAACCTCTGAAGAGGGACTCAGGACAGCTTCCAACAGGCAACCATAAAATACAACCATATACATTATAACGACAGTTTGCCAGGTTAAAATCGTCATACAAATCAGTCCACTGTGGTCAAATAAAGTCTTATCTTCACCAGTAAATCGGTCTATTCTGCAAATGTTTGATCCTATAGCCAGGATTTAAGTTTCTTCCAGAAGGTCAGGCAGGAGGGGGCAGATCTAACATCCCTAGCGAGGGAATTCCACAGCCGAGGGGCTACCACGGAGAAGGTCCTGTCTCTCACCCCCACCAAATGTGACTGCAATGGTGGTGGGACTGAGAGCAGGACCTCCCCGGATTATCTTAAGGTCCTTGGTGGTTCGTAGAGGGAGATAATGTATGCAACCATATCCACTGGGCACAACACAGAGAAATGTAATTAATTTCAGTATGCTATCAGTATTACAGAGTGTTCTTCCATAACACTAGCAAGACTTACATATCTGCCATAAAACAATTCTAATTTCTCAACTGCCTAAACATACCTAAATAGCGTTTTAACCTCGGTCCCAGCCCCATCCCTGGAAATATCCCTCCATAAGGAGAGGAGCCTCTTTCTTTCCTAACCTTGGTGTAAACACAGCCGCCCCTTTTGATCAAGTATTTTGCCAACTCCACATGGTTGTTTGCAACAGCCTCCATCAGGGGTGTCCGCCGTAATTTGTCCAGAGTGTTTATATTGGCACCAGCCTGAAGTAAAATAATAATAATAATAATAATAATATAGACACTCTACACACCCAACTCCCTAAGTGCAAGACTATACATTCAATCAACCTCCAAAATCTCTCATACCTCACGTGAATGTAACAGGAAACCTCTGACTCTATGATAAATAAGCTAAAAGTCATATAGTTTTAAAAATGCAAGTGAAATGTTTTCATGAGATATGTTGTGTTCCCATACATTTTGTTATTTCAATCTATGTTTGTATTAGTATCTCTCATAAGGAGTTGGTTTAACCTTTGGTTTGCTAGTAATCTTGAATTATTGTGTTGTGAAATGACATACGTCTAAAAGGTGTGTCACCAACATGAAATGTTTGGAAAGTTCTGGATAAAGACAATGCCTGTATAGAAAAAGGGAGATTTGAGAAGAGACTTAAAACAAGAAGTTTTGCAACACAGCTGTGTTGGGAGGGGGTATCAGGTTTGAAGGAAAGCATGAAATATTCTACTGAAAAAGCAAGATGACACAAAGACAAAAAGTGATGGGAGTTGGACATTAGAGAAAAAGTCAGAAAATAACAATGATTGCCTACTGGATGTCTTTAAAAGATAACTCTTGGCTTATCTACACTGGACTAAAACCCTATTTCCAATCCAGAAGCTGAACCCTGACATCCAGACTATATCCAAGGACTTCCAGTCTGTAACGTGAATGCATGTCTGTAACGTGAAGTTGGGGGATTGTCCAGTTTTGGAGAGATTTGAGAGTATCCCCAACCTTCAGTCAGTGTGAACAGATGGAATGGCTCTAATCCAAATCAGTCCACTACCCACAGGATAAATGCATTTCATACTTAGACTTGGGCACCATTTCAGAGACATCGCATTAAATATTTGCAAATATTCCAAAATTCCGAAATATCCAAAATCCCCAAAAGTCTGGTGCCAAGTACTTTGGATAAGGGATACTCTGCCTGTACCAAATGCAACCACACAGCACTGTATGCTACAGGCACAAATCTCAATTTGAGTTACTGTACACAACACCTAAAACAGGACAGTGGGAGCAGATCAAAGCCAACAAGCAATGCACTTATTTTACAGACAGTGAAAGTTGAGGAGATCAAACAAACCAGAGAAGAACATAGCAGTAGGGATAAAAAATATCTTGCCATTTCAAAAATCAGAAGTCATCACAAACCAGAAATTATTGGGAAAGCTACTCTGAATCCTACTCTATGTTATGTTTCTGCCATGGGCAGCAATGAAAGAAAAGAGCAAAATGTTTGTGTTGATTGGATGGTGAGCAGTGGAGCCCTTCCCTCCTGCTACACAATTCTAACCCACCTGTAGCAAAACGTGACAGATTTCCAAAAAGCCTTTCTGTGCTGCCGCATGAAGTGGAAAACGCTTGCTCTGCTGTTCAGTCTGGAAATTGGGATCCAAGCTGTCCACCGGAAAGGAAGGGCAAATGTCTGGAGATTGGGAGAGAAACAGAGAAGCTTGCAAAACAGGATATGAAAGAAACAATGCCGCCATTCTCCCAGAATGGCACCCAAGGTGGCTTCCAAAATAATTAAAAATTCACAATAAAAATGTAAAAATAGTGGAAAGCATATAAAACAGTGTAAAAAGAGCTCTAGTGGGCCATACATAGAGGTAAGGTCCTCCAAATAACTTGACCCTAAACCATAATGGGCTTTAAAGTCCCCTGAGAAACTGTGGAAGTCCCCTTCCACAGTCTCTCAGCTGTTTTATGCAACAGTCTCCCCCTAACAAGTCCTCTTTAGCTGTCTTAGGCTCCACGCAAACACCTCCTTGGCTATGAAATGCGTTAGAGGAACACTGAAACCAGTCCATCCCTTAGAATCATAGAGTTGGAAGAGACCTCATGAGCCATCCAGTCCATCCCCCTGCCAAGAAGCAGGAATATTTCAAATTCTTCTTTGGTGATTTCTCCCTTTTTCCACTTCTTGTGCATGTCTCTTTTGAGTCTTAGCACAGTTAGAAGTTCTTTGGACATCCATTCTGGTTTCTTTGCACTTGTCCTATTTTTTCCCTTTGTTGGCATTGTTTGCAATTGCGCCTTGAGTATTTCACTCTTGAAAAACTCCCTTGCAACATGGTGCCCTTTAAAAGCAACTTACATAACATTAGCACCACTTTCTGGAGCTCCCCTTGCTTAACCGAGAGATAGAGCTGGCGAGGATGGAATCGTAGCTTCTTGCGCCTGTTGGGAAGAGAAAAGGAGGGAAGTCATAAGAGAGATATTTTTTTCCCTTCTAGCCAAGCAAAAGCAAATTTGGGAGGGTATGCAAAGTATGAAAACCAAAAGACAAATTGGGAATATTTGTTTCAGAAGATCTGGGGAAAATGGCTGTGCGCTGTTCATTCAGATGCACTGGTTAAAAAAACACGGTTTATTGTTAAGCCCAACAAAGGTTGAGCATCCATTATCCAAAAATCCAAAATACAAGTTAAGTATCCTTGATCTGAAATGCCTGGGACATAGAAGCATTTTGGATTGCGGATTTCCCTCCCCAGCTTTTGGAATACCTCATTGGCCAATAGCTGAGATAGCTTGGAAATAGAACCCAAGTCTAAACAGGAAATGCATTCATGTTTCATATACGCTGCACAGAGTACACATCACATGAAGGTAAATTTATCCACAATATTTTGAATAAATTTGTGCACAAAAAAGAGTGTATATATTGAGTCATCAGAGAGCAAATGTGTCACTCTCCATTACCCATGTGGACTACTTCGGAGTATTTTAGAATATTTTAGATTCTAAAAGATCGTGGCTCTTTTGCTTAATGGGTGAGTGTGTGCAAACTTTGTTTCATACACAAAATTATTAAACATATTAGGTGTAAAATTACCTTCAGGCTAAGTGTATAAGGTGTATGTGGAACATAAATGAATTTTGTGTTTAGACTTGAGGCTAAACACACTCCAAGATATCTCAATATGTAGGTATAAGCAAAAACAGATATTCCAAAATCCAAATCATTTCTGGTCTAAAGCATTTTGGGTAAGAGATATTCAACCTGGTACCATTAAGAAAGAGTAAACAGTTACTCAAAAATTAGACAACAAACCTAATCATTAACGACAACTAGGGTAGAACCCCTCAACCAATGGGACTTCGGTCATTGTTGACATCAGAATTCTTACTTTCTAATATTTCTGTATTTGAAGAATAAGGATATGGTAAATAAAATTCTTATACTGCTTATGTTGCATGCCACAATAGCCAAAACCTGGGAAAAAATAAAATAAAATAAAAAGACTCCAGCAAAGCACTCCAGCAAAAAAGCATGCAGGGAATGCGGAAGTACTTCATCAGTGTCACAGATGGACGATGAAAGCGACAGCTCCCCTGGCGGCCAGAAAAAGTTAAATAGCCTCTGTGTATGTCTGTATATGTTTGTATGTCAAAAATTGGCATTGAATGTTTGCCATATATGTGTCCACTGTAATCCGCCCTGAGTCCCCTGCGGGGTGAGAAGGGCGGAATATAAAAACTGTAAATAATAAATAAATAAATAAATAAATAAATAAAACTGGTTGAACAGGATATGGGCTACAATGCTATCAGAAAAGTTAGCCTATACATTAAAATCAGCAAAAGGAGAAATAAAATAAGAGATATTTGATAACACAGAAAAGTCATGTGAATTCAAACCACCAAATGACCCAAGAAAGATTGTGGATGAACAATTAGAGACTATATTTCAATAATTAAATGTAATGGGTGAAATTACAATAAGCAGAATTAATACAAATGATAGAGCGGTATAACACTTTGTGAATGATGTTTATGTTAAACAACATCATTACTTTTCAAACAAGTAATTTAAGTTAAATATTTTTTTATTAAAAATAAATAAATAAGAATTCTTACTCATGCAACAGGTATGCTCCAATTGGGATATGGATAATATCACACTACACTGTTACAGCAAAATTGTTCCAGCTTAGCCGCTATGTCTGATACTTATGTGAATCCAGTAATTTGCAATTTAGAGGGGGCTTATCTCAGACAGGTAGTTCTTAGGGTTCACTAAACTACAAACATCAAGAATTCCATAGGAGACAGTCATAGCAGTTAAAAGTGGAATAATAGCACTATAATAGTGCAGTGAGAGCTTGTGCATTGCGACTTAAGGACAAAAACAACTTAATAGAGGTAAAGTACATGGTGGGCATTGCCTGGCATCACTTACCGCTCAGACTCCTGTACTACCAGGGCACGCTCCAGTTGTTCCCTCCCAGGCCCCGGAGGCAAACCCTGTGCTGAGAGCACAGTTCCATTTGGCAGATTCAGCCGTGGCCCTGCGCTATCAATTCCCGGGCCACCAAGACCTGGCGTATCATCCGGCGGATGCTCAACGCTCGAACCTCCCCGCATTCGGGCACTAAAGAAAGAAGATACAGGGCTATACCATCAAGCCTATCAGAAGCTTCAACTCCCAAATACCATCAAAGAGTTAATCAACAGTCTAAAATCAAGCCGATAGACCGGGCATGGGCAAACGTTGGCCCTCCAGGTGTTTTGGACTTCAACTCCCACAATTTCTAACACCCAAAACCCCTGGAGGGCCAACGTTTGCCCAGACCTGCAATAGACCAACAGAAATGTAAACATTAGCAGGATAACACAACAGAGAAGCTGAATACCCGTTCCGGAATCGTAAGCTGAATACCAAAGTGCCCAGAGCACAATGTGGAATCGGAATCAGTAAGCCAAGGTTCAAGGTAAGTCCAGGTTTCAGGAACACAAGATAGCAAGAGTCTTAAGGTTGCAGATTCTACGTTTTGGTATCAAATTGCTGCCTAATTTGTAATGCCACCCTGAGTCCCCTTTGGGGTAGAGAAGGGCGGGATATAAATGAAGTAAATAATAATAATAGCAACAATAGTAATAATAATAGAACTGATGTTGCAGCCAGTAACAAGGTGGCACCCTTGAGCTCCTACAATCCTAAATCCACAGGTGTTACCTGTTGCTGGCTCTCTTCGGAGCTAATCCCAAGGACATGCACACCTGAGACCCCTCTTTTCGCAGGACTACAAAAGCTGGAACAGCTAACTCTTCCTCAGCCTGCTCAGAGGAACTAACTTGCACTGGTTCTACTTCAAAGCTTGGCTGAGGGAGCTGATGGGCACTGCTGGGCTCCAGCCAAACTGCTGGGCCGTCCACTGGCATCTCTTCCTTGCTTTCCAAGCTATCCACAGCAAAACTTCAACTATCATGGGCTTAACTTGCAAACTGGAGATCAAACCAACCCCTTAAGAGATGAAAACCTTTCCTTCACACACACACACACACACTTTTAAAAATTCTAAATAAAAATCCTTTTCATTTCTACTACTTATACATATCCAATTTTTCACCTTCCCTCTTTGTCCCTCCCTCCTCTCTCCAGGAACAGTTGTACCTCTGCTCTTTGTGTTATTTTATTTGTTCGATCATGAAGATTGTGTTGCAGCAAATTGTTGGGGTTCTTTGCTCAGCAACAAGCCAACCCTTCTTCAGCATTCCCCTTCCAGTTAAGGAGCAGACAAGCACAACTTGTATCTTTTGTAGAAAACTTTGTACAGTAGTAAAGCTTTCCCATGACACTAGTAAAGGTAAAGCTTTCCCTCAAACTCTGTGGGATGGTGCTCATTTCCATTTCTAAGCCGAAGAGTTGGCATTGTCCATAGACACCTCCAAGGTTATGTGGCCAGCATGACTGCATGGAGCACCATTTCCTTCCCACAGAAATAATGCCTATTGATCTACTCACATTTGCATGTTTTCGAACTGCTAAGTTGGCAGAAGCTGGGCCTAACACTGGGAGCTCACCCTGCTCTTCGGATTCGAACCATCAACCTTTTGGTCAGCAAGTTCAGCAGCTCAGCGGTTTAACCCACTGCACCACCAGGTATTTACAAAAGTCTAGCAGATGTTCTTGACTCTCTTCCAGCCCTTCTTTTCAATACTTTAAACTCCCAGTCAGTTCATACCCTCTCCATAGTATTAGATTCTCTCTCGTCTTCTTCATTAGTCCTTCAATTTCTCTGTATCTCCATCTCCAACAGCTCAACACTCTGGCAAGAACAATTCACCACCACAACAACAACTACACCTCTCTACTAACAGAGAACCTTGTGCTTGGTTGTAAATTCTTCAATGCTAGCCAGGTGATTAAGTCCTTAATGCTTGCTGCTGAGATGGTCCTGATCCTTATGATTACTTACTGTCACTTTAGAGATGATAGAATGTGACAAAACTCTGACATGTTGTCTGATTCAATTCTTTGTATTTCCTTTTTTAAATATATGATTTATAAATTCGTAACATGTATTTCCATATATGTATTAGACCCTCTCTCTAATGACATTGCAGGTTATGATGAGCACCATGAACATGTACAAGAGCCCTGCCAATGTCCTCCACAAACACAATATTGCCCACCACCCAAGTAAAGTCTTTCATATGGGACAATTTCATCCTAGATTATATGTGTTTCCTCCACCACAGACATCCCCGTGTTTCTGACTCTCTTAATTAGTGTGGAATTTGCATGACCCCGTCCTCCACCTCCCTTAACCCTTTCCTATTATTTTCTATGGCACATAGCAAACAAAAGAATTGATCAGCAACTGAAGATAGAGAGGTTTGGGGATAATTCAACATTATTTATAGGTGTTGTAGGTACTAGGATGTATAGTTCACCTGCAATCATAATAATAATAATAATAATCATCATCATCATCATCTGTATAAATAAAAATGTAATGTTCGTTTGTGGGATTAACATAACTCAAACACCACTGGATGTATTGACACCAAATTTGGACACAAGACACCTATCAGGTCAACAAGTGACCACAACTCATAAAACCACTGGAAAACAGTGGAGAGACTTAAAAAGATAAAAAAAAAAAAACACATTACAACACATGCACAAACCACATATATACAAACCATACATATATACACAAATATAACACAGTACATATACACACACACAAAACACAGATACACAGCCTGGGCCACAGCAACACATGGCAGGGGAAGGCTAATAATAATAATAATAATAATAATAATAATAATAATAATAATAATAATAATAATCTTTATTTATACCCCACCTCCATCTCCCCAGAGGGAACTTGGGGCAGCTAACATGAGGCCAAGCCCAAAGATACAATACAGCAAAATAAAATAAAATACAAAAGAAAAAAAAATTACAACACAATAAAATAAATAAGCAAACAAGATAGAATAAACAGTGCAAAATAACAGAATAACAAGTCAAACACCATGGGTGGGCCAAATGCACAAGACAAAATGATAAAACCCTGGAGCACTCTGAACTCCACCAATGATGGACCTGGAACTAACTTGACACACAGAACCCCCCTATGACCAACAAAATTACCGGAGATATTTGGAGGGATTTAAAGGAGTTGTAGTTCACCTACATCCAGAGTGCACTATGAGCCCAAACAATAACGGATCTGGACCAAACTTGGCTTGCATACCCAATATAACCAAATTTGAATACTGGTGAATTTTGAGGAGAATTGGCCTGGACATTTTGGATTTATAGTTCACCTGTAATCAATGAGCACCGTGAACACTATCAAAGATGGAATTGGACCAAACTTGGCACACACAACACCCATAATCAGCAAAATATACTGGCGGTCTTTGGGGAAAATTTACCTTGATTTGGAGGAGTTGTAGTTCACCTACATCCAGAGAGCACTGTGAACTCAAACACCGATGGACCTGGACCAAACTTGGCACACATACCGGATACACTGAAATTTGATTACTGGAGGGGTTTGGGGGAAAACTGACCTTCCTTTCTGTGAGTTGTAGTTCACCCACAAGCAGAGAAACTGTGACCTCCACTGATGATGGACCTGGACCAAACTTGGTACACAGAATCCCCATGACTAACTTAATGTACTGGAGGGGTTTGAGGGGACTGACTCACCATAGTGGGAGTTGTAGTTTACTCTACAGCTAGAGAGCACACTGAACCCCACCGGTGATGCATCTAGAGCAAACTTGCCCAACATAACAAACTTTAAGTACTGATGGGAGTTTTTTGGAGTTAACCTGGAATGATGTGAGTTGTAGTTCACCCACAACCATATGCATTTTGTACAATTAAAATAGTGACTTTTTCAAATAACCTGGGCAACTCCAGGTACCCAAGCTAGTTAGGAATAGAAAAATGATTTATTTCCCTTTCCTTCCTAGAGTCCTGCATCCAAACATGGCACCGTGTTCTCACCTGGGCTGTGTAGTGTCAGCGCGGCCTGTACCCTCGGAGGTGCCCTGGCCGTGTGATGGCGGGATGGGGACTGGAGTGGAGGTGTCTGCTTTGGCTATTGTGATCTCCTGGGCCTCGGAAGCATCTTCTCCACAGTGTGGACAGAAGATCATGCCGTTCAGCTGGGAAACGCAGGCCTTGTGGAAGCGATGAGCTACACGGAAGTCAGGGTGGCACTCCAAAAAAGTACCCTGAAGGGAGAAGGAAGGGGAAAAAACAAGCTGTCAAGGACTCTGGGTGAACAGGGCTGTAACTGGCTGGATGTAAGTCTCTGGCTCCCTGGAACCATATCCTTTTCCTGAGATATATCACAAGTTCTGGCAATGGCTCCTTCTGCCTCAACGTACCAATATTCCCACCTTTCCCAACACAGCCCTCCTTGGTATCATTTTCTCACCGCAGTGCAGAAATAGCCACACCCGGGGCAGCAGTGATGTTTCACCATCCTGGCCCGGTGGGACTCGCACAGCACCATCAGGGGAACTCGGCTGGAGGGGCGCATTGTCTCCCGCTTTAAGATGCTACTGCTGCAGCCGTTGAGCTAGAGATGCACAAAACAATGCAATTACTTATATTATTATTATTGTTATTATGTTTAATGTGCTGTCGAAGGCTTTCATGGCCGGAATCACTGGATGACTTTGAGTTTTCCAGGCTATATGCCATGTTCCAGAAGCATTCTCTCCTGACATTTCACCCACATCTATGGCAGGCATCCTCAGAGGTTGTGCAGATACCTGCTACGGATGTGGGTGAAATGTCAGGAGAGAATGCTTCTGCAACATGGCCTTTGAAGCAAGTGTGAATGTTACAATCTGCTACATTGATTAGCACTGAATGGCCAAGCAGCTACAAAGCATGGCTACTTCCTGCCTGGGGAAATACTTTGTTGGGAGGTGTTAATTTATATCTTGCCTTGTCTCTCCTGAAGGAGACTCAAAGCAGCTATTATTCATTTATGTATCATGCAGCAGTCCCTCCACATCTGCAGGAATTAGGGGAATAGAATGCAATGAAAGTGAGAAACTGTAAATACACAAAAATAATGCAAATGCTATTTTAAAAAATACTTTTTAGGTTTTTGTAGGTCCTCTATGCAATTCTATGGTTTGATTCTGTTGGAGATGAATCATACACTGGAAGGCCTACACATGCCTGGAGCAGACATAGGTTTTTAAATTGTGGGTAGCACAACAGCAGAGGTTTTGTTCTTGTTTTAGTGTCAGGAGCGACTTGAGAAACTGAAAGTTGCTTCTGGCATGAGAGAATTGCCTGTCTGCAAGGACATTGCCCAGGAGGTGCCCGGATGTTTTGAAGAGATCTAATTTGCCAAATAGTCACTGTTGTATGTTTTTATGTTGAATGTTTTTATATTGTGTAAATGCTATTTTAAATTGTAAGTCACTCGTAGCACCTTGGTGGAGAGCGACTAATTAAGAAATAAAGTGAAGTGAAGATCTCTATTGAACCAAAAAGGGATTTCTTTCCAAATCACGGAAACTCTCACCTCTCCGTCGGCACTTTCGGTGGCCATGCATTGATTCCCAGCCTGCTGGCTGAGGCGCTCAATCGTTGGGGCTTCCATGCGGCAAGAGCAAAGGGGCAGCTCCTCAAACCGTTCTGTCTCCAAAGAACTCGTCTCATTAGACACTCCTAAGGAAGACAGGAAAGGGGAAAATGGGAGACTGGAAAGTGGCTGCTGTCAACAACTCCTCCAACCTCCAGTGTAGTTTGAAGGTTTTCTTCATTGTCTGCTCCGTCAGCAATGCTACAGACAAAGCTTTCACCCAGCATGAAATTAATCTTAGTTTTTGCCATAGGCATGCAAAACACAATTTGCTCAATGCCTTCCTCCTGCAGCTGACCTTGGAAGTCAACTCACTACACTTTCCATTGACCGAGTTTACAAAATTTAACAGGGAGAGAAGCTGGAGTACAAACCAGCATGGTTGGGGGACAAGGCCCCTTCGTTGGGCAGCTCCAAACAGCCAAGAGGCACTTCGGTATATTCGCTCTGGATGGCCGAAGGACCGCCATTCAACCCTAGAAAGAAAGCAAAAGAATGAGGAAAAGCAACGCACTCACAACCAACTCTATCTATTGTGACAGTTGTTCACTTAATCTGTATAGTCTGCAGTCCTAGGGATTTTCAGCCTCCTGAATCCTGCCTTTCTCCCAATATAAAACTCGAGGCAGCTCACAACATTTTGAGTAATACAAAATACAACCAAAAACACATCATGAAAGTGATTTTAAAATAATAGTGTACTAATAAGCAGTACGAGTACAAGAGCTGTACGTGTGAAAAAGATCTTGGAGTCCTCGTGGACAACAAGTTAAACATGAGCCAACATTGTGATGTGGCGGCAAAAAAAGCCAATGGGATTTTGGCCTGCATCAATAGGAGCATAGTGTCTAGATCTAGGGAAGTAATGCTACCCCTCTATTCTGCTTTGGTTAGACCACACCTGGAATATTGTGTCCAATTCTGGGCACCACAATTCAAGAAAGATATTGACAAGCTGGAATGTGTCCAAAGGAGGGTGACTAAAATGATCAAGGGTCTGGAGAACAAGCCCTATGAAGAGCGGCTTAAGGAGCTAGGCATGTTTAGCCTGAAGAAGAGAAGGATGAGAGGAGATATGATAGCCATGTATACATTCATGAGAGGAAGCCACAGGGAGGAGAGAGCAAGCTTGTTTTCTGCTTCCCTGGAGACTAGGATGCAATGGAGCCATGGCTTCAAACTACAAGAAAGGAGATTCCATCCGAACATGAGGAAGAACTTCCTGACTGTGAGAGCCGTTCAGCAGTGGAACTCTCTGCCCCGGAGTGTGGTGGAGCCTCCTTCTTTGGAAGTTTTTAAACAGAGGCTGGATGGCCATCTGTCAGGGGTGATTTGAATGCAATATTCCTGCTTCTTGGCAGAATGGGGTTGGACTGGATGGCCCATGAGGTCTCTTCCAACTCTTTGATTCTATGATTCTATAATAAAATAGTACAATCAACCTTCTGCACCCTCCCCCTTCCACATTTGCTGGGGTTATGGATGCAGGACTATGAATAAAAGAATGTATAACAATCATCATCATCATCATCATCATCTTTATTTATATCCCGCCACCATCTCCCCAAGGGAACTCATGGCGGCTAATGTGAGGCCAAGCCCAAAAAATTACAATAAGGCAAAATGAAAAAAACAGAAAACAACTAATCACACTGAATACAGTGCAAACAATAAAACAAAAATAATACAATAGAATAAACACAAAATATATAATAAAAGAATTGAACACAGTGGAGCTGAAAGATCAATGTGTTGTTGAAGGCTTTCATGGCCGGAATCACTGGGTTGCTGTGAGTTTTCCGGGCTGTATGGCCATGTTTCAGAAGCGTTCTCTCCTGAAGTTTCACCCACATCTGTGGCAGGCATCCTCAAAGGTTAGAAACTAGGCAAGTGAAGTTAATAAATTTGTGGAATGTCCAGGGTGGAAGAAAGAACTCTTCTCTGCTTGAGGCAAGTGTGAATGTTGCAACTGACCACCTTGATTAGCACTGGATGGCCTTGCAGTTTCAAAGCCTGGCTGGTTGCTGCCTGGGGAATCCTCTGTTCTCTGTTGGTGTTAGCTGACCCCCCTTTTTTTTTTTAGTGTTGCGCTTTATTTACTGTTATGATTTTAGAAGTTTTTAAAATACTAGTAGCCAGATTTTGTTCATGTTCATTGTTTCCACCTTTCTGTTGAAATTGTCCACATGCTTATGGATTTCAATGGCTTCTCTGTGTAGCCTGACATGGTGGTTGTTAGAGTAGAACAATGATTGAATGAATCCCTAAGTCCTTCAGAGCAACTCTATTCATTTACTTTATTTATTTACTTTATTTGTATACCGCTCTTCTCAGCCCTTAGGCGACTCAGAGCGGTTTACAACTCTATAAACAATGTAGATATCCTTAGAGAGGTGTTGCCTCTAGGAATATCTAGGTCTCCTAGCATAACTCTAGACTCCACATCTGGCAGAAGAATTGCACTGGAGCGCCAATAAATTCTTCTGGAGATCTTATTAATCAAATCTGTCAATAACACTATGTAGCACGATTTTTGTTCCTGGATTATCAATGTCATTTCCTAACTGGTTCTATCATAAAGAAATGGAAAAAGTTTATTACACTGCAAAAACTTTGTTTCTACAGGAAGACATGCTTCAGCACATTTTGCTATAGTTTTTCAATGACAGAGTCTCAAGAAATTTAACATAGTTTGTGGCAGCCACAAAAACAAAGTTTCTGGAGTAGAACAATTACTTTCAAAGTAAGGACCGCGCAATTAAACAGGAAATAACACTTTCAAACCAGGAACCGAATTTTTATCAAATCTGCAAAACTTTGACCTTGAATGCTGTATTTTTGAAAATTAAATAATAATAATTAAATAATAATAATAATAATAATAATAATAATAAACCTTTATTTATACCCCGCTACCATCTCCCGGAGGACTTGGTGCGGCTTACAAGAGGCCGAGCCCAATACATTAATAAAAACAACACAGCAATACCTACAATAAATAACTCATAAACAAAACAATAAACAAAACAGTAACACCACGACGCATTAAAACCCATGGCAGGGCCAAATGTAACAATTAAATTTTTAAAATACTGGGCATGACAAGGTGACATATAACTAGGAGGGTATTTGGAGAGAAATGGAGCGAGCAGACAATCCTAGATCATCAGTAAAGTGCGATTACGGACATGTTGCTTAAGGTTTCTTATTCTGGGAAGGCACACTGGAACAACCATGTTTTCAGGCTCCTCTTAAAGACTGCCAGAGTTGGGGTATGTCTAATAATAATAATAATAATAATAATAATAATACTTTTTATACTGTTCTATCTCTCCAAGCGGATTCAGGACAGTTTCCAGCATGGTAAACATTGCGCTTACCAACATAAAAACATACAAAAACATTATAACCATATAAACATAGTACTATATGACAATCACACATATTTAAATTAAAACCAATGCGGTTTTAAAATGGTTTGAACACATAGTTTTGCTGGCATCTGGAAGCTCATCTCTCGGCTCTATCCAGATCACTTAAAGGAGGCATTGCTTCCCCAAGAATCCAGCTTCCATTTCCCAGCAAAACATCCCTCTTGTCATTCCATCTTGCTTTTGTTTCAGAGCTACTGAACGACAATTACCTCTGGCATCCTTGGGATGAGAATCTTTGCGTTTCCGTTTGCGAGAGGGCTTGACCCAGGGACTGTCGTTCCGCCACCGTTTCCGGGCCTTGCGCTTGGAGCTGGAGGCAGCACTCTGCAGCACAGAAAGGAGACCCTAAGATAGGGAAACATCCACTTTGGGTAGGATTGTAGCTCAGAGACATCAGCGTCTACATAGGTATAAACCAGCCATGGGCAAACTTCAGCCCTCCAGGTGTTTTGTACTTCAGCTTGCACAATTCCTAACAGCCTATCGGCTGTTAGGAATTGTGCAAGCTGAAGTCCAAAACACCTGGAGGGATGAAGTATGCTCATGTCTGCTATTGACTGAGTATCCCTTATCTGGATCTCTGAAAAGAGATAGGAGGGGAAATAGAAAACTGAACTGGGGGGGGGGGGGGAACAAGACCAAACAAAGCGACTATTCCAAAAGTAGAAGAGAAAAGAACATTTTCAAAACTAAAGTAATGTCACCTTGTCTGAAAGAGCGTATGTTCTCTCTGATTTTTCCTTTTAGTATGCAACTGATGTCCTGTTCCTTCAACAAGACCTCGAATACTCATCTTGAAAGCATTGGTCTCCCTCTAAGACACAAAACCTCAAGTACCCAAAAGCTTAACAGAATTATTCCAGCTTCTAATGCCAATATGGAAAAAGAAGGGGTAAAAATCCAGAAGCAAAGGAAACATAAAACAAGAAAAAAAGAAACACAAATTGTTGACTGATTGAACAAGTTACGAATCCCTCCTCCCAGAGCTCCATCCTCATCTATCACTACGCAACATGATTTTTGTTCCTGGGATATAAATGACATTTCCTAATTGGTTATATCATAAAACATGGGGAAAGTTTATTAAAATGCAAAAACTTTGTTTTTGTTGGACATCCTGCAACACATTTTGCTATAGTTTTTCAATGAATATCTCCTAGAGTCTCAACCAATTCAACATAGTCTGTGGCAGCCACAAAAACAAAGTTTCTGGAGCATAATAACTACTTTCAAAGCAAGTACTGTATATACTCGAATATAAACCTAGTTTTTCAACCCTTGTTTTAGGCTGAAAAAGCTCCCATCGGCTTATACTCGAGTCAAGGTGATTTATTATTTTGCTCTGTCATTACTATTATTTTTATTACATTTATTATTTTACTCTATCATTATTATTTTACTTTATTGTTATTATTACATTTATTATTTTATTTTATAATTGTTATCATTACATTTATTATTGTACTCTATTTATAATTGCTATTATTACATTTATTATTTCACTCTATTATTATTATTACATTTATTATTTTACTGTATTATTATTGGAAGGATACATAAACACATTTACATTTAAGGGGGTTAGGGTAGTCTCATCCTAAATTACAATTTTGAATCAATATTCAAAACTATTTAACCTACTGATGCCTCAATTAATGTAATGTTATTGGTATCTATTTTCATTTTGAAATGTCAGTAGCTGCTGAATTTCCCACTCTCGGCTTATACTTGAGTCAATCTGTTTTCTCAGTTTTTTGTGGTAAAATTAAGTGGTTCGGCTTATATTCGGGTCGACTTATACTCGAGTATATACAGTACCACACAATTAAACAGGAAACAACACTTTCAATTCATAAACAATACTTTTTTTTCAAATTTTATTACTGTTGGAAATAGCAACCTTCTTGAATCCTCCACTAGTAATCTGTTTGTATATGATTCTGTTTGCTTACTGTATTGTATATGTATGCTTTGGAATGCAACTTTCCCTTTACTCTAAGTTTCCTGAGGTTGTGGGAGGGGCTGCAGACCACATGATCAGATCTGGGATTGCTCAACTCTCAAAATCCATTAGAGCACACAACACAGAGATGCTTTAGACTGTGGACTTTTGAGATCATAAGATGCCCTGTGTTGCCTGCACAGAGAAACTACTTCAAATCTATCCATAACTGGATTGACAAGTTGTGCACCTGTATGCTGAATACATGAAGGTTGTGAGTAAACCAATTATGTTACTTTTAATGAAATTGTCAGGTTTTACAATGTATTGTAATGTAATATAGCTGAGTCATGCACTGCTAATGGGCTTCTATTGGGAATGCTGAGTCATGCATTAACTGTATATAGAACTTCATTTGGGGAATGTGTTCTGGCCTAGTCCAGGTGATTGTGAATGATGCAATCCTGGGTTTGAGTTCAGTCAATGAGCTGGGAACCAATCGGTGATTGCTATGTGTAAATGGATTGTATATAAGGAAGTCATATACAGTGTATATCTCTCCTTGTGCTGTGATGTTGTTCGTCAAAGGCTATATGTAATTAAAAGAACCTGTCTGCTAAGACAATATAGAACTGTATGCTGTGGTAAGTTTGTAATGTCATCTAGACTGGGGGAAAGACAATGGTAAAACTGACAATGGCCGGGCATGTGCTCAAGTGTCTGTAAAAGGTTCCAGAGTGACTGCAGGCTGTGGGAGGAGTTGACTGAAAATACTGTGCAGGAAGAAGCTACTGGAAAGCACTGAAGTTGTGCAACTGATCTACTGCTGAATTGTGAAGTTAATCTCAACAGAAATCTACTTTTTTTGTCTCTTGAGAGCATGATATAGAAACAAGATACTGTATTTTATGGGAGAGTAGATGTTTTTGGGCACTGAAAAGAACACTTCTGAAGAACTGCTATATTTTGTGCATTGGCGCAATCTCTCTTCCTAACAGATCAGAGACAACTAGGTTATCAGTCTGACAACTGAAATCCAAATTGCCTTGCATAACTACATGAGGATTACCGAAGACAAGATGAGTTGTTGGTTCTTCTCTGGAAGATCATACTTTTACAAAAGGTTATGATTTTCAAATGGTGTGAATGCCATTTTTCTCCAAAGGGCTATGGAGATTCTGGTTTATCAAAAGGTTACAATCTCTAAAACGTCATATCTTTCCAAAAGTTACATAGTGTATTCATTTGCTTACAGAATGTTCTTGCCTAAAGAAAATATAAACATACAAGAAAAGGCCATGCCAAACTGGGAAAATAAAATCAAGCCGGAGACTGCTTAAAACAGAACAAATATTAAGTAGCTACTCAAGAAAGTCTAGTTTGAACCATTATGTTCTTAAAAAAATCTCCGACTGAAGTTTTAAGTGCCAAGCAGCACAAAGGGAGATCTGAAATGAGGAGCCACCGCTGAAAAAACCCTATCTGCATATTAATTAATAAAACAATTAAAATGGAAAAATGAGCTTCAACTCACCCTGTCAGAAAGATTACCGGATTCTTCATCCTCTTCCTCCTCTTCTTCTTCCTCCTCCTCTTCCTCTTCTTCCTCCTCCTCCTCTTCCTCCTCTTCTTCCTCTTCTTCTTCCTCCTCCTCCTCTTCGCTCATATGCTCTCCAGCAATATCAGCATCCGACTATAAAAGAAAAGGAGACATTACTAATATTATTATTATTATTATTATAATCTGGGTGGTAATAAAAGTAACATTAATAATAATTTTACTTCTTACTTACTTCTCCTTGTGACTCAAAACACATAGGGCCCTTCCACACAGCTGAATAAAATCCTACAATATCTGCTTTGAACTGGAATATATGGCAGTGTGGACTCAGAAAACCCAGTTCAAAGCAGATATTGTGGGAATTTCTGCCTTGATATGGCTGTGTGGAAGGGCCCATAATAACTGTAAATGCATATATTAAAATTTATTTCCATTAAAGATGTATATTAAAATGTATTTCTATTTTTAAAAACCTATAACATACATTTTAAAATACATTGATTGAGTGAGTAGCATTGAGCGGTGGGAAGAACAGTGAAAATTGGTAGAAATGTGCTTACATTTCCTTCCAATAATAGTAGAGTAAAATAATAAATGTAATACAAATAATAACAATAATAATAGAGTAAAACAATGGAAATGTAATAACACTAATAAAAGAGTATAAAAATAAATGTAATAATAGAGTAAAATAGTAAATGTAATAATAATAGAGTAAAATAGTAAATGTAATAATAATACTAAATAGAGTAAAATAATAAATGTAATAAAATAATAATAGAGTAAAACAATGTAAATGTAATAATAATAGAGTAAAATAATTAATGTAATAAAAATAATAATAAGAGTAAAATAATAAATAACTTTGACTTGAGTATAAGTTGAGAGGACTTATAGTTGAGAGGGCTGAAAAACTTGGCTTATACTCGAGTATATACGGTAAGTAACACACAATTAAACAGGAAACAACACTTTCAAACCAAGAACAGAACAATTTTCAAATTTTGTCACATAGTGTAATTTACACCCAGAATTATTTTGCACACTGCTATTCTGTGGAACTGCTGCAAAACCACAGAATGAGATTTTGAACCTGTAATTTAGCTTCCCAAGAATCACGTTTCTTCTCCGCATCCTTGTAAACAAGTCATTCATAGTTCTTATGAAAAAATGTCAAATGGAAGTGTGTGGGTAATGCTGGATCAGATTTCTAAAACCAAAGGGCACACATTTCCAGTCATCCTATGATAGCATTTCAGTGTTGACACTGATGCATAGTTCCTCCTTTACCCTCCATAACAAATCAATGCAGAAGATGTTGGGCATACTTCCTCAACTTCTCACTGGATTTAGCTTTTAAGGTCAGAATTCAGGCTAAAGTGGCAAAGATTTGTGATCTTTCCCAAAATACCTGTAACTTAGGTTAYAGATTTCACAAAATAGATGCAACTTGAGGAGAAACATCTAACTAAYTGTCCAATGACGAATCACCACAAAACAATATACATTTTAGTGCCTCAAATGTTAGCCGTTTCTGGGTATGTATGACCTGCTGATTCCACAAATGGAAAGAAATTTCTCCTATCTGCTCTAGTCTTTGAGATACAGAACATATGCCWCCTACCACTTGCCATCTGCTCATCCTCAGAAAACCGGGATAACCATATCCAACAAAAYTAGAGGTCATGTMGTTTATCCAATGCAATTTTCTGAATCAGCTCTCCAAATAGGCCGAAATACCAAGATTTATTTTTGGTTGGGCTTTGTATTATTATTATTATTATTATTATTATTATTATTATTATTATTATTAATAATAATAATAATAATAATAWTTTTTTTAAATATCTAAATTCCAATTTCTTTTTGCCTGGGTTTAATTTTTCCCTCAAGGCCATGAGACAGCACAACAATGTGAACTGGGAAATGTCCAAGGATGCTGCAACATCTAACTGAGGCTAGACTCCAAACCATAAAAGCCCACAGACTTTGCATGCTGTTGGTTGTGTACTTTCAAGATGTTTTCGACGTACAGAGACCCTAAGGCAAACCCATCACAGGGTTAGAACCATAGAAACTTTAAAACACAGGGGGAGACCTGCCAGAGACATCTGGTCCACCTTCATTCTGCCAGGCAAGAATGCATAATCAAAACACCCCTGACAGATGGCCATCCATCCTCTGTTTAAACAACTCCATCGCCCTCCTAGACAGCAGCATATTCCACTGTCAGGAAGTTTTTCCTAATGTTTAGATGGAATCTCTTTTCCTGAAATTTGAATCAATTGTTCCATTGCACCAGTTTTAAGCATGAATGTTAAATGCATGTCTTGAGTTTAATCTCTGTTCTGTGTGTTTTAATATATATTTTATAGAAATACATTTTAATATGTGTGTTTATAGATGTTTACAATCTTTATGTGTTTTAATTAACCCGTTGTAACCTGCCTCGAGCTACCTGGAGAGGCGAGTAAGAAATTATTATTATTATTATCATTATTATCATTATTATTATTATTATTATTATTATTATTATTGTTATTACTACTACTACTACTACCACTATTATTATTTCCTGGTTCCCAAAGTAGCAAAAAAACAAGTTTGCCCCACCCAATCCTTTGAAATATTTGAACATGGCTACTAAGTCCTCCTGTTAACTTTCTCTTCTTCTATCTAAGCGTAACCAGCTCCCTGAGACTCCACCTACACTGCCATGTTTTGGACTGGATTATATGGCAGTGTAGACTCATATAATCCAGTTCAAAGCAGATAATTTGGATTTTATATGGAAGTGTAGAAGGGGCCTGAGGAGGTCTTCATAGGGCTTGGCTTTCAGACCTTTTATGGTTCCTTCCTCTGAAATATAGACTGTAGCACTTGGTATACATTGGTAGATTTTCTGAAATTATATGTGACTTGTCCAAGGTTACCCAACGGGTTTCCATGTCCAAGTGGGGAAGTGAAACCCGGTCTTCAGAGTCATAGCCCAGCATTATGCCATGTTTGCTCTCTTTAAACAGGTGACAAGAGGGAAATGTGCTGTTTTAGTTACCTTCTCTGTCCAGACAGTAAGAAACCAACTCCTGCCCCCTTCCAAGGAAAGTGTTCACGCGCCATACCTTGCTGTCTGAGTCGGCGTGGCCATCCACGGAGTAGCTGTCGTAGAAGAGGGTGAAGTCGTCCCCCACCTCCGTCTCCCACTCCGCACCTCTTTCGTCTTGTGAGGCGGTGGCTGGGGCGGTCATATCTTCTGTCACAGTGATCTGGGAATATAAGTGCACCTGTTTGTCCCACTTCAATCTCAACCCGTAAAGCAGGTTGCAGAGTATACACATCCCTCCACATTTGCAGGTTTAAATTCAGATTACACTATGTAACACAATTTATAAGGTGGTTGCCTCGCACACATTATTATTTTCATCTTTCTATAATTCTTCCAAAGAAAGACGATGGCTCTACCTGTCTGCACCATGTTGCAAAAAATGGAAATGTTGAAATGGTCAGCTTGTTGCTCTCCACAGAACAGGTGGATGCCAATGCCCAGGTAAGTGAGGGTTTGGGGAAGGGTTAGAATTGCTCCTTATCTGCTACTTCCTTTCTTTTCCTTTTTGGTTTTTTCATGTTTGTAGAATTGTAAAATGGATAGAGCCCACAAGCATCCATTATACTATAATAACACGATTTTTGTCCATGGGTTATAAATGCTGTTTCCTAATTGGGTCTATGATAAAAACAATGGGTTGCCATCACATTTCCCCCCTCAAGATCTCTTCTCAGATGAAGTACTTGTTCCTCAAGATGATCCGTATATTGTTTGGCGAGTTCGCTATGCTAAGAACAACCAGACTCACTATCAAAACTTAACATGTGCAGTCACATACAGTGAACCAAGTACATCCGGCCATCAGTATCCACAGATGTTGCATTCATGGATTCCTACATGCACAGCCTGAAAATAATAAAACAAAAGAAAAATCCCAAAAGCAAATCTTGATTTTGCCATCACTATATAAAAAAGTCAAAGTATGTATGTGCGTGTGTGTGTGTGTGTCTGCACTGAAAAGGTTGTTGCTAGGTGAAGTGGCCCTCTGTGATGTCGCTGGGAAAGAAAGGGGGAATGGAGGAAAGAAGAAAAGAAAGGCAAAGGGATGGAGGGAGAGACAAAAAGGGGGGGAGAGATGGAATGGGGATATGAAAGAAAGGGTTAAAGAAAGACAGAAAGAAAGTGGAAGAAGGGATGAAAAAGGGGGGACAATATCCCCTCCAACACTTTTTTGCTGTTGCTGTTTATTGATTCAATTGCTTCCGACTCTTCATGACCTCATGGACCAGTCCATGCCTGAGCTCCTTGTCGGCCGTGGCCACCCCCAGCTCCTTCAAAGTCTAGCCAGTCCCTTCAAGGATACCATCCCTCCATCTTGATCTTGGTTGGCCCCCTCTTCCTTTTTCCTTCCATTTTGCCCAGCATCATTCTCTTCTCCAAGCTTTCCTGTCTTCTCATGATGTGGTCAAAGTACTTCATCTTTGCCTCTAGTATCCTTCCCTCCAATGAGCAGTTGGGCTTTATTTCCTTAAGTATGGACTGGTTGTATCTTCTAGCGGTCCAAGGCACTCTCAGAACTTTCCTCCAACACCACAGTTCAAAAGCATCTATCTTTCTTTGCTCAGCCTTCCTTAGGGTCCAGCTCTCACATCCGTAGGTGACTACGGGGAATACCATTGCTTTTACTATGTGGATCTTCGTTGCCAGTGTGCAGTCTCTACTCTTCACTATTTTATCGAGATTGGTCATTACTCTCCTCCCAAGAAGCGTCTCCTGATTTCTTGTTTTTTTCTTATGTTTAAATGCAACCCAGCTTTTGCACTTTCTTCTTTCACCTTGGTGAGAAGACTCCTCAGCTCCTCCTCGCTTTCGGCCATCAAAGTGGTATCATCTGCATATCTAAGATTGTTACTGTTTCGTCCAGCAATTTAAACTCCAGCTTTGCATTCGCCAAGCCCCACACATCGCATGATGTGTTCTGCATATTAGTTGTATAGGTTGGATGAGAGTACACAGCCCTGCCGTTCTCCTTTCCTAATCTTGAACCAATCTGTTGTTCCATGGTCAGTTCTCATTGTTGCCACTTGGCCCTTATACAGATTCCTCAGAAAAGAGACAAGGTGGCTTGGTATCCCCATACCACCCAGAACTTGCCAGTTCATTTTACTATGCCATATATAGTGAGGCTTGACCTCCTATAAATTTTGGTAACCATAGTTCCCTAAAGGTATCAGCATCAATATCAGTATCATCATTATCGCCACCCAGCATTGTCAGTAACGAAGGATTGTTTGTATTTTAGTCCCACAAAAGGATAAAGGTTGCATTGCCCCCTGATCTAGATGCAACAAGTTTGTGCATCACCTAAAAAACCTGCCAGACATTTCCAACTTTGGAATTGCCACTTCTACCTGTATGAAAAAAAAAATTATCTAAAGTTAGACCAGGCAAAGGAAGGCCTACCTCTGTTGTAGCTCTGGGACTCGACCGCTGGAGAGAGAGAGGCATCCGCTTGTGCATCGCCTCTGCCATATAGTCATACTTCCTGCGTTTGGCAGGTTCTTCTACAGGAAGAGAGGGGAAAATGAGAGATTTTGTAATTCTTTGAATTTTTTTTTAAATCTATGTATTGCCTGTTTTCCAAGACAGCTTACAAAAGGTAATACAGGTACATCACCCTCCACATTTGCTGGATCCCAAAGCAGGCGGCCCTCCAAGGACTGATGGAGCAAAAAGGTATTCACCTTCTGCTAAAAAATACAGCAAGTAGGGAGTTCCAGAGGCCTCATCTATGCTGACCATATATTGCATTGAACTGAATTACACTATGTAACAAAATTTGAAAAAAAAATCTGTTCCTCATCTGAAGTATTCTTTCCTGCTTAATTGTGCAGAACTGACTTTGAAAGTAGTTGTTATACTCCAGAAGTTTCGTTTTTGTGGTTGCCACAAACTAGGTTGAATTGGTTGAGATTCTATGAGGTATTCATTGAACAACTGTAACAAAATATCCTATATGATGTCCCTCCCTCAAAAACAAAGTTTTTGCAACTTAATAAACTTTTCCCATGTTTTTATGATAGAACCAATTAGGAAATGACATTTATAACATAGGAACAAAATCATATTATGTAGTGTTCTACGCATCTACACTGACCATATACTGCCATTTTATTTATTTATTTGTTTACAGTATTTATATTCCGCCCTTCTCACCCCGCAGGGGACTCAGGGCAGATTACAATGTACACATATATGGCAAACATTCAATGCCATAGACACACAACATATATAGACAGACACTTAGAGGCGATTAACTTTCCAGCTTCTGGCCACCAGGGGAGCTGTCACTTCCTCATTCTTTGCATACTTGCATACTTCCTGGAGATTTTTTTATGGCCTTGTAAATCAGTTAATTTAGCCTCCCCACAAAGTGGTACGTAATTTTCCTACTTGACAGATGCAACTGTCTTTCGGGTTGCAAAGGTCGACAACAAGCTACACAATATTGGTCGGGAGCTCACTCCGACCCGGGCTGGCTTTGAACTCATGACGACTCCCAGCCAGCTGCGCCACAGTCCCGGTGCCATTCTCAACTGCATTATATGACAGTGTAAATGGTAGTCATGTGTGCGGTAATTATTTCTGCTGTTTAATCCATGTTTTTGTACCGTTTCTTTCATTTGGCTGGCACGATATATAAACGCCCCTCTGATATGAAAATAACTGCGAAACGAAAGAAAAGTTTGAACAGTAACCGTTTGTGTGTCTGCTTTTCCTGAGCACTAATCTTTTTTATGGATCCCGCAGAAAACAAGAAGCCTCATTTCCTCCCCTCTTCCAGGAAGTCATCACTCTTCCATAACTGTAATTGGGAAGCTTCCTTAAAATGCCTTGGAGAGTGCGTGCATGGATCCTCCTTCCTCCTTCTTAACTCTTGGAACTGCCCTGGCACCGCCTTAGGTTGTTGCTTGCTGCTGCTACAGTGCTGCCTCCATCTCTCATGCAAGTAAAGTGCCTGTAGCCTCCTCCTCTTCCTCCTTTGTGCTTCTTTTCTCTAGAGTAAGGCAGGCATCAGCAACAGCAACGAACCAAGGCATCGGCGGCAGCTCCAAGAGCCAAGGAGGGAGGAGAGCGTAAGAGGCACAAAGGAGAAAGAGGAGAGGGGCTGGAGGCGCCTTCCTTGCACGAGAGATGGAGGAGAATGAGGAGGGTTCCCAGCAACAGCAGCAAGCAAGGACCCAAATCTTGGTGGGCTAAGAGTGGTAGATGTGCTCTCCACGTATGGCAATTTTCACCCCTCTAGCCCTAAAACTGAGGGGAAGGCGAGCCTGGGAAGGCTGTGCATATTGGCCAATGGTCCAAAAATAATTGTTCTTTTGGACTCGAAACAAAAAAAAAACTCATTTGGAAAGGTGTCCGTTTTCAGGAGAGGCATTTGAAAACGAAAACAGGGCCTTACGAATGAAACAAACAGAAATGGATAGCAGTTCTATACAAATGCACAAGACTACTAGATGGGGGCAGAGCCAGGGGGAAGCCACTAAGGAGGTCCTCCCTTATGTTGCCACCAAAATGTATGTGGGAGGGTGATGGGACAAAGTCCTCTCCAAAAGATCTCAAAACACAAGTAGGCTCATATAGGGAAATAGAGAGTTTTGAATAATCCTGAACTGAACTGGAAACTATGACATGGAGCAATGGATTCATAGAATCATAGAATCAAAGAGTTGGAAGAGACCTCATGGGCCATCCAGTCCAACCCCCTGCCAAGAAGCAGGGATATTGCACTCAAATCACCCCTGACAGATGGCCATCCAGCCTCTGTTTAAAAGCTTCCACCACACTCCAGGGCAGAGAGTTCCACTGCTGAACGGCTCCCACAGTCAGGAAGTTCTTCCTCATGTTCAGATGGAATCTCCTTTCTTGTAGTTTGAAGCCATTGTTTCGTGTCCTACAATTCACACTGTAGGAAAAGATATTCTACCTAAGCAATAGGAAAGAGTTGTTCAACAGTGGGATATGCTGTTTTGTGTTATATTGTTTGTATTGCATCGATGGGCGTGGCCTCATGTAAGCCGCACCGAGTCCCCTTGGGGGAGATGGAGTGGGGTATAAATAATAATAATAATAATAATAATAATAATTATTATTATTATTATTATATGCTGCCTTAAAACCTGGTAGAGTCTCCTTCTCTGGAAGTTTTTTAATCAGAGGCTGGATGGCCATCTGTCGGGAGTGTTTTGATAGTGTATTATTGCCTGGCAAAAAAAGGGTTGGACTGGAGGCCCTTGGAGTCTCTTTCAACTCTATCACTTTCAGATCACAACCAGCATTTGGATTTGTGCTGAGAAATAAACCAGCAGACAATGTAGCTGTTTCAAGAAAGCAGCCGTGAACTCCTGTATTCAGCCTGTTTGCAGACTGGTTGCAGACTGGTTTTGAATGCTCTTTGAAAGCAGCTACACCATCATCCAAATCAGGTATGAGCAAACTTGGGCTTCAACTCACACAATTCCAAACATCTGGTAGGCCATTAGGAAATGTGGGAGTTGAAGTCTAAAACACCTGGAGAGGGCCGATGTTTGCCTATGTCTGATCCAAATGGTGGAAAAGGAGATGTAAACAGACAGTTCTGATCCCCAGAAGTCTTAACCCCAGAATCGTATCCGATGTCCTATGAAAGCTGCCAAGGTCAAGGCATACCTGGCTCTTCGATGCTCCTCAGATCATCTGGAACTCGGAAATGTAACATCTCAGAGACTCGCTTTTCAGGGACCTTGAAGGGGATAAGAATGAAGGAAGGAAAAGACACTTTTATCTAAGCTCCAGCCTTGGCGTTCTTTTGAGTAACAAACCAGTTGTGCTGAAGATAAACTCCTTTAACCAAGACCATCCCAAACACTTGTTTAATTTGTATTCAAACGAACTGCTACACCAAATTGCATTCAAGAAGGCTAACAAACCCAAGCAAAAAGAAATAAAACAATGTAGCCATTATGACAATAATTTACAGGCATGTTGAAACAGTTTAAAAGGTCAGACTGAAGAGCAGAACCTGGGTGTGCGTGCCTTCATGTTGTCTGTTGACATATGGCAACCATACAGTTTTCTGATGCAAGGAAGACTCAGAAGTGGTTTTGCCAGTTTCTTCCTCTGAAATATAGCCCAAGACACTTGGTATTTCTCGGCAGTATCCCATCCAAGTACTGACTGGGGCTGACCTGGCTTAGTTTTAAGCATCCATGTTATTTGGGAGCTAAATTCACCCCTCCCTAAAGTGGTACCCTCTGGAAAGTTTGCACTAAATGGTGCGTGCATGGATCCTCCTTCCTCCTTCTTAACTCTTGGAACTGCCCTGGCACCGCCTTAGGTTGTTGCTTGAGTGCAAAAATATTTTTTCAAATACCACAGTCCCAGAATCCTTTTATCACTACAGCTGCTAGCCTTATGCATCTACAGGCCTTAATCCCAAAAACTAACTTTTCTAAACTCCATCCCTTAATAAATCTGTATGTTGGTTTGGAGAAAAGAAGGCTGAGGGGAGATATGAAAGCCATGTTCAAATATCTGAAAGGCCCGCAGTGGCGCAGCAGCTTGAACCGCTGAGCTGCTGAACTTGCTGACTGAAAGGTTGGCAGTTCGAATCTGGGGCGTGGGTGTGATCCCGCTGTTAGCCCCAGCTTCTGCCAACCTAGCAGTTCTAAAACATGCAAATGTGATTAGATCAATAGGTATGACTCCAGCAGAACGTTAATGGCGCTCCATGCAGTCATGCTGGCCACATGACCTGGGAGGCGTATATGGACAATGCTGGCTCTTCAGCTTAGAAATGGAGATGAGCACCACCCTCCAGAGTCAGACACAATGTCAAGAGAAAACCAACCAACCTAAGGAGGAGGTGAGCCTTTTCCCTGCTGTTCTGGAGACTAAGACACAACATATTGAAAAGAATTAATAATAATAATAATAATAATAATGTGTCAGTAAAATAGTAATAATAATACTTTATTTGTATTTCACCCCAACAGGACTCAGGGAGTATTCCAGGATACACAAACGCAAAGACAAGCATTCAATGCCTAGAAACAACAAAACACAGATAAAGGTAAAGGCTTCCCCTTCCGACTGTGAGTGGCTCATCTCCATTTCTAAGTCGAAGAACGTGCGTTGTCCGTAGCCACCTTCTAAGTCATGTGGCCGGCATTACTGCACAGAGCACTGTTTACCTTAAGGTGGTACTTATTGATCTACTCACATTTGCATGTTTTTAACTGCTAGGTTGGCAGAAGCTGGGGATAACAGCAGGAGCTCCCCCCATTCCATGGAGTCAAACTGCCAACGTTCCAGTCAGCAAGTTAAGCAGCTCAGTGTGCTGCCACAGCCCCAGAAAATTCCCCCTAAACCGGGAGTCCACAAATTAAGCCTCATAGGCCAGATGCTGCCTTGCAAGGCTGTTTACCAGCCCCCACCCTAAACTTTAGACTTAGGTTCATTCTAGGTCTGAAACGACTTGAAGGCAAACAATAACAACAATCCTAATTCACTCGACTATCTCATCAGCCAAAAGCAGGCCCACACTTTTCACTGAAATACTGGTATTGTTCTTGTACGGTTTTGCTCTCTTCTACAAATAAGACACGTGAAGTGTGCATAGGAATTCATACATGTTTTTCTCAATTATAGTCAGTGAGGGACCATGAACCGGCCCTCAGCTTAAAAGGTTTGAGGACCCCTGCCCTAAACGTTAGGAAGAATATCCTGCTGGTAAGAGGTGTTCAGCAGTGGAATGTGCTGCCTTGGAGTGTGATGAAGTTTTCTCTCAATGGTTTTTAACCAAAGGCTGGATGGCCATCTGTCCAGAGTTTTTTGACTAAGTGTTCTTCCATGGCAGAAAGGGACTGGACTGGTTGGTCCTTGGGGTCTGTCTCTTCTACAATTCTGAATTTGCTTGCCCTGCTTCTTGGGGAAAAGGTCCTTCTGCGTGGAACTTTTGAAAGTTTGGAAATATTTCAGGTATGCAACTGAAAGCGACCAAGCCATAGACAAATGTGTTGTCCCTCTGCAAGTGATAAAATACGTGAGCAGATTTACCTGCACCGTGCTGGCCTTTGCCATTGTTTTCCGTGCCCGATGGACCTTGGGCTTCACCTCTTCAGCTGCTGGGGATGGGGACTGAGTCGGGGATGAGTTTGAGGCTGGGCCCAGGGTTGAGGCAGGAGTCTCTGTTGCGGGCATCCCAGGATCTCCAGGAAGCCGCGATCCAGGCATACTCAGCAGGCGCATGGCCAAACTCTGGATGGACGTCGGGGACTTGCTGGTTCCCGTGAGTGACATCTTTGCCCGGCTCGGACCACCCGTTTTGCTGGGAGACGAGGGGAAAGTCTTGGCCGCGTGGCCTGAAACCAAAAGCAATTGAACAAAGAATCCTCAACTACATTTCTACTCTTCAATCTTTACACAGATGAGGGGTTCTCAACTTTTAGTCCTGCCTGATGTTTTGAACTTCAACTTCCAGAATTCACCATCACCTCACTACCTCTGAGGATGCTTGCCATAGATGCAGGTGAAACATCGAAAATGCCTCCAGAACATGGCCATATAGCCCGGAAAAACCTACAACAACCCAGTGATTCCGGCCATGAAAGCCTTAGACAATATCACTGAAGTTTCTCGGAGTTGAAGTCCAAAACTGATAAAACTATGTAGTAAGATTCTTGTCTGTGGGTTATAAATGTCATTTCCAAATTGGTTCTAGCATGAAAACATGGAAAAAGTTTATTAAACTGCAAAAACATTGTTTTTGTGGGACATCATGCAGCACATTTTGCTATAGTCATTCAATGACTATCTCATAGGGTCTTAACCATTTCAACATAGTTTGTAGAAGCCACAAAAATGAAGTTTATGGAGTAGAACAACTACTTTCAAAGTAAGTACTGCAAATTTAAACAGGAAATAACACTTTCAAACCAGGAACACAATAATTTTTCAAATTTTGTTACATCGCGTAATCAATGTGGACCTCACAAATAAAGAACTATTACTATCAAAAGATCCAAGCTGGACTGTATTTAGAAGTTACAAAGGGGGAAAATGGGGACTTGTGCCTAAATGTACTTTTATTGACAAAACATTCATTACAAATGAATGACTTCTCCTCATATATTTATACATGGCGCTCATCATATCTCCTCTCAGCCTTCTCTTCTTCAGGCTAAACATGCCCAGCTCTTTAAGCCGCTCCTCATAGGGCTTGTTCTCTAGACCCTTGATCATTTTAGTTGCCCACCTCTGGACACACTCCAGCTTGTCAACATCTTCCTTCATTTGTGGTGCCCAGAATTGGACACAGTATTCCAGATGTGGTCTGACCAAGGCAAAAGAGAGGGGTAGCATGACTTCAAATTAAGCCATTAGGAACCAAAGATATTATAAAGCAAAAACAGAAGGTATAACAGCAGAAAAATAGACTAAACCCACAGCATTGGAGCCACGTGGATGCAATTTCACAATATGCCTTCTTTCCTTCTCACCTGGCAAGCCTTTGCTCCCTGGGCTTGGGCTGGTAGTGGATCCAGCCGAAATCCCTCCGGCTTCGGGCGATAGGCTTCCTGTTTCTTTATTATTCCCAGTCACCTGCGTTCGTGCTCCATCGTTGCTGTTTCTGCCAGAAGCCAGCGAGCTCTCGGACGCTCCTCCCAAAGCGTTTTTGGACTTCCGAGGAGACAAGGATTCCGAGGAAGGATTGGGTCCATCTCTGGAGGGGGCGGCATCTAGAAAAAGAGAGACACAGATATGCTCACGATACTATGTGTAGGTTTCAAACCTGGGCCTGAGGACAGAAAAGAAGGGCACCTGCCCCATTCTCCACCCCAAACTTCCCAAAAACTTACCTGCTTCGTCTGATCCCGCTTCTACCAGGGATGACACGCCTCCTGATATCCCTCGGAGAGCTTCGCCCTGAGAACAGGAGCAAAGAAGTGGATACATAGAACTCAGCAAGACTGCGGGTGCATTTATTATTGTTATTGTTTAATATGTTGATGTAATTTTACCTCTATTTTTACGTATTACTAGCTGTCTCTGCCACACATTGCTGTGGCCCAGTTTGTGTATATATTTTGTGTGTATATATATAGGTGTATAAATGTGTGTGCAGATGTGTGTATATGTATATTTGTGTATTTCTGTGTTTATATGTGTATACGTATATTGTGTATATGTGCGTGCCTGTGTATATGCATATGTGTTTATATATGAATGTATTTGTATATATATATATGTGTGTGTGTGCATGCATAATGTATATATGTGTGTGTGTGTTTATGTATGTATATTTATGTGTGCTTGTGTGTATATATATGTGTGTGTGTCTGTATGTTCCCTGCCCCACTGCCACGTATTGCTATAGCCCAGTTTGTGTATGTTTTGTGCATATATTTGTGTATATGTGCATATATTTGTGTATATGTGTTTGCATGATATATAGGTGTATAGATGTGTATGTGTATATATATTTGTGGATTTCTATGTTTATATGTGTATATGCATATTGTGTATATGTGTGTGCCAGTGTATATGCATATATATGAATGTATTTGTATATATATGTGTGTGTGTGCATGCATAATGTACATGTGTATGTGTGCATGTGTTTATGTATGTATATTTGTGTGTGCTTGTATATATATATGTGTGTGTGTGTGTGTGTCTGTATGTATGTATGTGTGCATATGCATATGAGTGTATGTGTATATGTATATATAGTTTATTTTGGGGGGTTTTAAGTCCATTCTGCTGAGGGGTTGTGTGTTTTCAGGGGTGATGGACACTCGTTGGACTGTTAGGTGTATTGTGTCAACATTTAGTGTCAATTCATCCAGTGGTTTCTGAGTTATGTTTTCCCCACAAACTAACATTACATTACATTTATTTATTATATGTGTGTGTGTGGGTATGTATATGTGTGGTACTTGCATGTGCTTCTTTAAGTCATCCTGAGTTCTTTCTGGAAGACGGTGGCGGGGTATAAATAAAGTTGTTGTTGTTGTTGTTATTTAGGCTGTAGAATGAATGCAGTTTGACACCACTTTAGCTGCCATGGATCAATGCTATAGAATCCTGGGAGATGTAGTTTTACAAGGTCTTTAGTCTTTTTCTTTTCTTTTTTTTTTTTACCAAAGAAGGCTTGTGTCTCCCCAAACTACAACGTCCACAACAATGAGCTCAGACAGTTAAAGTGGTGTTAAAGTGCATTAATTCTGCAGTGAGGAGCCAGCCTGTGTATCACATCAGTGGACTACTTTATTGAACTGTTAACAGGAGAGGTTTTTCTTCTAATATTTTAGCTACAGTTTTGTAAACTTGTACTGAAAGGCAGAAAAGTATATTAAACCAACAGAACTGTGAATTGAACTTTGTGTGAGAAGGGGAAAAAAGGAATGAGGACATATTATTATGTTGGTTTCTTGAAATGCCAATCCTACGATTGAATGGTTTTACTGGGGGGGGGGGGGGGGGGGGGGCTGGTGGGGGATGAGCTGGTCACAAGGACATAGTATTGTCTTGGTTTCTTGAAATGCTAACCCTATGGTTTTACTAGTTTTAATTATGTATTTTAAATAAGCCCTGTGTTTAATTCTAATTTAATGTCTGTATGCTTTGGGATTTAATTTACAAATTGTACGATGTTTAATTGCTTGGAGTCTCCTTTGAGAGAGAAGAAAGACATAAATCACACTGGCCAACACATGATTCTGGGTATGTTAGACATGGTTCTGGGTATATTTGACCAGCTAGGAGCCATGGGAAGCTGGAGCTGAGAGACAGGAGCTCACCCCATCTCGCAGATTAGAACTGCCGACCTTAGGTCTTCAGGTCAGCAATTCAGCCGGCACAAGGGTTTAACCCATTGCGCTGGCTGAACTGCTGACCTAAAGACCTAAGGTCGGCTGTTCTAATATGCAAGACGGGCTGAGCTCCTGTCTCTCAGCTCCAGCTTCCCATGCGGGAACATGAGAGAATGGTAAAACACCCGGGCATCACCAAGGCAATGTTTCTGCAGACAGCAAATTCTCTCACACCAGAAGCGACTTGCAGATGATTCTGTAAATTGTTCCATTAGCTTTGGTTCTCGAGATACAGAACATATATGACATCTACCAGTTATTGCCTGCTTGCACATAGAAAATTGTGAGAGCCATACTAAAGAAACTAGAGCTGATGAGGTCTATCCAATGCAGTCTATCCAAAGAATCAGCACTCCAAATAACTCCAGGAACAGGCCAAAATACCAAGACACACCTCAGCCCACTGTTGTGATATTTTATATTAGACTTTTACTGTATTAATGTATTGTGTTTTAATTGGTTCAACCCATTTTGTGATATTGTATGTATTTAGTTCATCCTTGAATAAGTTTGGTTGTTTATAAGTTATACTAGCTGTCCCCTGCCACACGTTGCAGTGGCCCAGTCTGTGTATATGTGTTTTGTGTATATATATATGTGTGTGTGTATTTGTGTATATATGTGTGTTTGTGTATATATGTGGTTTTGCGCATGCATTGTAATGTATTTTTGTGGGGGTTTTTTTTTTTTGCTTTTTAAGTATCTTCTGATAGGCGTATCATGTCCAAATTTGGTGTCAATTCGTCCAGTGGTTTTTGAGTTATGTTAATCCCACAAACGAACATTACATATTTATTTATATAGATTTAGCTTATTTTAATTCGTGTTTCATCTTAATTGTTCTCTATTTGCACTTGGCATTGAATGTTTGCCACTTTTGTTATACTTTGGAGGGGACTCAGGGAGAGAGGGTGGGGTATAAATAAATAAAGGCTCTGTAATAATTACAATGATAATAATATTATTTAAGTATTTAAATTGCTAGGGGTTTTTTTGCCTGGGTAAGTCACATGCTCTTATCTCCAGAAAAGCCCAAGTTAGGATTGACTTGAAAGCATCTAAAAGCAACAAATGCCTGAATTTTGTCCCCATTTCCACAGCTGCACTGCATGCAAAGATAAAATTGGGAAAAAATGTATCCCACCTGAATCATAGAATCATTGAGTTGGAAGAGACCTCGTGGACTATCCAGTCCAATGGTTCTCATCCTGTGGGTCCCAGATGTTTTGGCCTTCAACTCCCAGAAATCCTAACAGCTGGTAAACTGGCTGGGATTTCTGGGAGTTGTAGGCCAAAACACCCACAGGTTGAGAACCACTCCAACCCCTTGCCAAGAAGCAGAAAAACGCATTCAAATAACCCCAACAGATGGCCATCCAGCCTCTGTTTAAAAGCCTCCAAAGAAGGAGCCTCCATCACACTCTGGGGCAGAGAGTTCCACTGCTGAACAGCTCTTACAGTCAGGAAGTTCTTCCTAATGTTCAGGTGGAATCTCCTTTCTTATAGTTTGAAGCCATTGTCCAATGTCTTAGTCTCCGGGGCAGCAGAAAACAAGATTGCCCCCTCCTCCCTATGACATCCCCTCACATATTTATACATGGCTGTCATGTCTCCTCTCAGCCTTCTCTTCTTCAGGCTAAACATGCCCAGCTCTTTAAGCTGCTCCTCGTAGGGCTTGTTCTCCAGACTCTTGATCATTTGAGTCGCCCTCCTCTGGACACATTCCAGCTTGTCAACATCTCCCTTCAATTGTGCTGTCCAGAGGTATCAAAGGTTGAAAATACAGTAAATAAACAACAGCATACAACTGCTAATACCTAAGAGAACCTTAATCCAAATTCAGGAAACACCTTTCTATGGGCAAACCACATCTGAATCTTGGCTATTTAAACAATTGAAAGCACGTTCAACCCTCCAGAGCTTTCAGACAACCCTCTTCTGACATACTTAACAATAAGATTGATACTAATAACAAAAATAATGGTAATAATAATAAATAATCTTCTTGCCTCTTGGGCATCTTTCCCCCCTGCTTCTTCCTGTTCTGTTTTTCCTATAAACTGACCCATTTGGAGTAATTCTGACCCATTTGGAGGCAAGAACTAGCCAAGTGCAACCCACTTCTAATCAAGGAGCTCCTATCTAGAGGAGGTGTGGCCTACTGCCAAAGGTGTAAGCCCCGCCCACTTCTCTTATGCAGACTCAAGAAGAAAAAGGTTGCATTTACACCAGGCATGGGCCAACTCCGGCCCTCCAGGTGTTTTGGACTTCAACTCCCACAATTCCTAACAGCCGTTAGGAATTGTGGGAGTTGAAATCCAAAACACCTGTAGGGCCGAAGTTTGGCCATACCTGCTGTAGATTGAAATTGGATTTGCAGAATTGAGAATCTCACATTTTATTGTTCATGTGTTGTATGTTTGTCTTTTCCTCTCAAGTGAATATCTAAAATTAAGGTCTAGGGTCCATTTGGGTATACAAGTACAGTCGGTCTTCCATATCTACAGATTTATTTATTTATTTCACTTATTTATTTATACATTTCTGGGCTGGGCTGTGTCGCTAGCTGCATTCAATCACTACTGACCAAGAGTGAGCATTAGTCTAGCTTGCTGTCGACTTTTGCAGCCCAAAAGACAGTTGCATCTGACAAGTAGGAAATTTAGGTACCGCTTTATGTGGGGAGACTAATTTACGATGCCATAAAACCTTCCAGCGGTGTGCAGAAGAATGAGGAAGTACTCCATCAAAGGACTCGGTGTCACAAATGGAAGGTGAAGTGGCAGCTCCCCCTGTGGTTGGAATTGAGCATACACTCATGAAGCCGGAATGCTGGAATGTTAAATTGGCTCCATGTCTGTCTATATATGTTGTATGTCTAATTGGCATTGAATGTTTGCCATGTATATGTGCATTATAATCTGCCCTGAGTCCCCTGCGGGGTGAGAAGGGCAGAATAGAAATCCTGTAAATAAATAAATAAACTTGTACCCCATCCTTCTCACCCCGTAGGGTGTTAAGCTGTTAGGAATTGTGGGAGTTGCAGTCCAAAACATTGGGAGGGCCCAAGTTTGCCTATGCCTGTAGTAGAATATAGTATGATACCCTTTCACTCCCACCTGCATCTATGACAGGCATCCTCAGACCTCACAACCTCTGAGGATGCCTGTCATAGATGCAGGCGAAACGCCGGGAGATAATGCTTCTAGAACATGACCATATAGCCTGAAAAACCTACAACAACACAGAAAATACTGTTTTCTGATGATCTTTGGCGACCCCTCTGGCACCCGCTCGCGACCCCTCCCCCAGAGGTCCTGACTTCAGGTTGAGAAACACTGTGCTATAGGGAAATGCTTAGAAACTCTGCATGAATGTTTGTGTACATCCTTGTGATCTTAACCTTATTTATCTCCTTCCATTAAGCATACAGTCCAGATTGAAAATCAAGGGAAGTAATGGCATGATAGCCCTGTTTAAATGCTTGAAACAATGTCCCATTGAGAAAACTTGTTTTCTGCTGCACTGGAAACTAGGACACAATGCACCAATGGATTCAAACTGCAGGGGGAAGAAATATTGCACCCAAACATTAGAAAGAACTTCCTGATGGTAAGAGTTGTTGGGCAGTGAAATATCCTGCCTTGGAGCTTAGGGCCCTTCCACACAGCCATATAACACAGAATCCCACATTTTGTGCTCTGAACTGGAATATATGGCAGTGTAGACTCAGATAACCCAGCTCAAAGCAGATATTGTGAGATTTCCTGCCTTGATATTATGGAATATAGGGCTGTGTGGAAGGGCCCTTAGTGGGGTCTCCTTCTTTGGTGGTTCTTCACCTGGGGCTGGGTGGTCATCTGTCAGGAAGTAATGCTACCCCTCTATTCCGCTTTGGTTAGACCACACCTGGAATATTGTGTCCAATTCTGGGCACCACAATTCAAGAGAGATATTGACAAGCTGGAATGTGTCCAGAGGAGGGCGACTAAAATGATCAAGGGTCTGGAGAACAAGCCCTATGAGGAGCGGCTTAAGGAGCTTGGCATGTTTAGCCTGAAGAAGAGAAGGCTGAGAGGAGATATGATAGCCATGTATAAATATGTGAGAGGAAGCCACAGGGAGGAGGGAGCAAGCTTGTTTTCTGCTTCCCTGGAGACTAGGACGGAACAATGGCTTCAAACTACAAGAGAGGAGATTCCATCTGAACATGAGGAAGAACTTCCTGACTGTGAGAGCCGTGCAGCAGTGGAACTCTCTGCCCCGGAGTGTGGTGGAGGCTCCTTCTTTGGAAGCTTTTAAACAGAGGCTGGATGGCCATCTGTCAGGGGTGATGTGAATGCAATATTCCTGCTTCTTGGCAGGGGGTTGGACTGGATGGCCCATGAGGTCTCTTCCAACTCTAGGATTCTATGATTCTAGGAGGGCTTTGATAGTGTCTTTCTGCCTGGAAGAATGGGGTGAGACTGGATTGTCCTTGGGGTCTCTCCCAACTATGAATCTGTAAGTCCATAAAATAGAAAAAAGGAGTATTTGTGAGATTTTTCTGCCAAGGTCCCAAAGTTATTGGCTCCTTATTGCAGAATGGGGTTGGACTGGATAGCCCTTGGGGTCCCTCTTCCAACTCTATGATTCTCTCAATGCAATCTGGGAACAGTGGGAAACAGTGCACTTCCAAATTTCCAAGGCACTGCCTCTTCCCCCAGGATCGTACCCCATGCACAGCTCCTTCCCATCCATCCCACACAAAACATTTCTTTTGCATTTCCTTTGCAAACCCAAGCCCCTCCCATGTGGCTCCCCAAAAATCAAAGGCCACATGCAATAAGGACGTTAGGAAACCGGGGGCCCTTCCTCTTTCCACCCTCGGGATTATTTCCCCTTCCCCTCTCTCTGCATCGCCCCACCGATCTCCCGCCATTAGCCACGGAAGCCCCAAACCTCCGCGCTTGCAGCCTCCATGGCCTCGCGCCCAAGCAGCAGCAGCAGCAGCAGCAACAGACCCGGCCCCGCACTGACGTCACGAGCGAGGCAAGGGGCGGAGGGAAAGAGGAGGAGGAGGAAATCTCTTAAAGGGGCAGCACAGCTTGATTCCCTGGCGCTCAGACAAAGAGCAAGGACAACAAAAGGGGAGGAGGCCAAGGCTGGCTCAGGGTGCATTCTATACAGTCATGCCATGCATGGCCCAATGCTATGGGACCCTGGGGGTTGTAGTTTCACAAGGTCTTTAGTCTTCTCTGCATCTCAGGATTCACTCTGTCGCTACTTGAATTGCTATGGGATCCCTAGGAGTTGTAGTTTTCCAAGGTCTTTTGCTTTCTTCTGTCAACTAATTCTAGCACTCACCAAACTATAAATCCCGCGATTCCGTAGCATAGTTAAAGAAGCCGTGCCGTTTGACCCCACTGGATCTACCAATGCTATGGGACACTGGGAGTTGTAGTTTCACAAGGTCTTTAGTCTTCTCTGCATCTCATGATTCACTCTGTTGCCACTTGAATTGCTATGGGATCCTAGGAGTTTTAGTTTTCGAAGGTCTTTAGCCTTCTGTCAACTAGTTCTGGAGCCTCGCCAAACTATAAATTCCATGATTCCATAGCTAAGTTAAAGAAGTTGTTCCGTTTTACCCCACTGGATCTGCCATGCTATGGGATCCTGAGAGTTGTAGTTTCACAACGTCTTTAGTCTTCGCTACATCTCAGGATTCACTCTGTTGCCACTTGAATTGCTATGGGATCCTAGGAGTTGTAGTTTTCCAAGGTCTTTTGCCTTCTATCAACTAGTTCTAGAGCCTCACCAAACTATAAATTCCATGATTCCATAGCATTGTTAAATAAGTTGTTCCGTTTGACCCCACTGGATCTGCCAGTGCTATGGGACCCTGAGAGTTGTAGTTTCACAAGTTCTTTAGTCTTCTCTGCATCTCAGGATTCACTCTGTTGCCACTTGAATTGCTATGGGATCCTAGGAGTTGTAGTTTTCCAAGGTCTTTTGCTTTCTTCTGTCAGCTAATTCTAGCACTCACCAAACTATAAATCCCGCGACTCCATAGCATAGTACCGTTTGACCCCACTGGATCTGCCAATGCTATGGGACACTGGGAGTTGTAGTTTCACAAGGTCTTTAGTCTTCTCTGCATCTCAGGATTCACTCTGTTGCCACTTGAATTGCTATGGGATCCTAGGAGTTTTAGTTTTCGAAGGTCTTTAGCCTTCTGTCAACTAGTTCTGGAGCCTCACCAAACTATAAATTCCATGATTCCATAGCAAAGTTAAAGTTGTTGTTCCGTTTGACCTCACTGGATCTGCCATGCATGGCCCAATGCTATGGAACCCTGGGAGTTGTAGTTTTACGAGATCTTTAGTGTTCTCTGCATTTCAGGAGTCACTCTGTCGCCACTTGAATTGCTGTGGGATCCTATGAGTTGTAGTTTTCCAAGGTCTTTCGCCTTCTTCTGTTAACTAGTTCCAGCCCTCACCAAACTATAAATCCCGTGATTCCTTAACATAGTTAAAGTAGTGTTAAACTGCATTCGTTCTGCAGTTTAGATGACAAAACTCTCTTAGAATAAAAGAATCCTAGATTTCGAAGAGACCCCAAGATCCATCCAGCCCAACCCCATTCTGCCATGCAGGAATACACAATCCCAAGAAGTAAGCGTCTTCTGATTTCCTGGCCACAGTCTGTGTCTGCAGTAATCTTTGCACCTAGAAATACAAAGTCTGTCACGGCCTCCACATTTTCTCCCCCTATTTTCCAGTTGTCAAAATTTTCTGAATAGGCATCCCCAAATAACCAAACCAAATCTAAAGTTGACCTACAATCCACTCTAAACACTTTTGCAGAAGCATAGGAGAAGCTCAGCCTGTCTTTAAACATCGAGAAAACCAAAGTGCTCTTCCAGCAGTCACCAGCCAGTCCCTTCGCAATGCCAGAAATGCAACTTAATGGTGTAACATTAGAAAATGTTGACCATTTCCGCTACCTTGGCAGCCACCTCTCCACAAAAGTCAACATTGACACTGAAATACAATGCTTTCTGAGCTCTGCGAGTGCAGCATTTTTCCCAAATGAAGCACGGAGTGTTCGAGGATTGGAGCATCTGTAGGAATGCCAAGGTGCTTGTTTATAAAGCTACTAGCAGTCCCCTGCCACGCATTGCTGTGGCCTAGTCTGGTGATCTAATGAGAAAGTGCTGCTTTCTAATGTATTTCATTTCTTTCTGCTTGTGGATAAACAGTATTTCTTGCCGTTTCTTTGCCAGTGCTGATGTGGAGATTGTCCGGTTTGCCTAGTCTGGAACATGCAACATATCACTGTCCTTCTTTAGGGGTTCCTTTCAAATCTTTGCTACTGCATCTGTCATATACATATATATCTGTGTGTGAATGGCTGGATGGCCCTTTGTCAGGAGGGTTTTGATTATGTTTTCCTGCCCTGGTGTAGGGAGTTGGACTGGATGGCCTTAAGGCAACATTTCTCAACCTGGGAAGACCCGGGGGGGGGGGGGCAATAATATCTGGGAACATGCAACATATCATGTATCCTTCTTTAGAGGTCCCTTTCAAATCTTTGATACTGCATCTGTCATATACATATATATGTGTGTGAATGGCTGGATGGCCCTTTGTCAGGAGGGCTTTGATTATGTTTTCTTGCCCTGGTGAAGGGAGTTGGACTGGATGGTCTTAAGGCAGCATTTCTCAACCTGGGAAGTCAAGACCCCGGAGTTGGGGGGGGGTCACCAGGGTGGTGTCAGAAGTGGACTGGATGGCCTTAAGTATTTTCTGTTGGTCATGGGGGTTCTGTGTGGGAAGTTTGCCCCAATGCTGTCGTTGGTGGGGTTCAGAATGCTCTTGATTGTAGGTGAACTATAAATCCCAGTAACTACAACTCCTAAATGTCAGGGTCTATTTCCCCCAAACGCCATCTGCATTCATATTTGGGCATATGGAATATTTGTGCCAAGTTTGGTCCAGATCCTTCATTGTTTGAGTCCGCAGTGCTCTCTGGATATAGGTGAACTACAACTCCCAAACTCAAGGTCAATGCCCACCAACTCTTCTAGTGTTTTCTGTTGGTCATGGGAGTCCTCTCTGCCTTGTTTGGCCCAATTCCATTGTTGGTAGAGTTCAGAATGCTCTTTGATTAGGTGAACTATAAATCCCAGCAACTACAACTCCCAAATGACAAAATCATAATTTTTGAGTGATGGTCACTCCTTGTGTTGTGAGACGTTTTGTTGCCAAATTTGGTGTTATTTCGTTCATTGGTTCTTTTGTTTTTAAGGTACTCATTACGCACAGAGCATTTTTATATATATAGATTGTCCTCCCAACCCTGCCATATACCTGCGAAACATGGACTGTCTACAGACATCACACTCAACTCTTGGAACAATTCCATCAGTGTTGCCTCCAAAAAATCCTGCAAATCTCTTGGGAAGACAGATGGACAAATGTCAGCGTGCTGGAAGAAGCAAAAACCACCACCATTGAAATAATGCTTCTACACCATCTACTTCGTTGTACCGGCCACGTTGTCTGAACGCCCAATCACCATCTCCAAAAGCAGTTACAATACTCTGAACTCAAGAACAGGAAACGTAATGTTGGTGGATAGGAAAAGAGATTTAAAGATGGTCTTAAAGCCAACCTTAAATACGGTGGCATAGACACCAAGAACTGGGAAGCCCTGGCCCTTGAACACTCTAACTGGAGGTCAGCTGTGTCCAGCTGTGCTGCAGAATTCGAAGAGTCTCGAATTGAGGGCGAAAGGGAGAAATGTGCCAAGAGGAAGGCATGTCAAGCCAACCCTGACCAGGACCACCTTCCACCTGGAAACCAATGTCCTCACTGCGGAAGAACATGCGGATCAAGAATAAGTCTCCACAGCCACCTATGACCCATCAGCAAGACACTACACATGGAGGACCATTATACTCGGACTACGAGGGATCATCTAAGTAAGTAAGTACAGTAATGTTGAAGGCCAATTCCATACACAAACTGACAAGAATACTTGTCCCATTCCTCACTGATGTTTCACCCACGGTCTAAACAAAGCAACAAAATTACAGCAGCTTTTATTGGTTTTTATTTATTTTTTTAGAAAAAATGAAAAACAAAAAAGCTAGTTAGGGTCCAGGAGATCAGAGTCAATATTATCACAAGGAGAAAAAAATCCATATCCCATTTTTGTCAGCTCTGGGACCAATTCATGGCTGCAAGGATTCTGTGTAAGTAGGCATTTTGAGACTGGGTCCAGCATTCAGTGATCCAGAGAATTTAAATCCTATTTAAAAGCAAACAAATAAGTCAAGTTTCTAGTCCTGAAGGCTGTGATGATCAATACTTGAAAATGTGCGGCTAATGCTTGCTTTGCAGAGGTAGGAAATGGAGTTTATCCAGTACAATCGGGCTTTCCAATGCCATAGGTAACATGCTTGACATGACACTTTGCTTTCATTTTTATTTGCAGAGGAAATTTATAGCACAGAGATTGTACATTTGGTTTGATTTTCCTCATCTGTCCAGGTTACACAACCCAGTTTGGCATTCTGGGTTATTATATCACTCTCTCCCAGGCTCAGAGGAAGGCAAAAAGAAACCTTGCCACAAAATCCCTCTGAGATAAGGTCAATGTCAACATGAAGACACACAACAACAGCAAAATACTAGAAACTGGGTCATCCATTTAAGATGAATGGAGATTCAGGACAAATAAAAAGAAATACACCTCGGAGCACCTGGTAGCACAATTGGTTAAACCCTTACTGGCAGAACTGCTGACCGAAAGGTCGGCGGTTCAAATCAGGAGAGCGGGGTGAGCTCTCATCTGTCAGCTGTAGCTTCTCATGCAGGGACATGAGAGAAGCCTCCCACAGGATGGTAAAACATTTGAGCGTCCACTGGGCCACGTTCTTGCAGACCATCAATTCTCTCACATCAGAAGCGACTTGAAGTTTCTCAAGTCACTCCTGACACGAAAAAAAAATACACATGACTTTTGGGATTTTGTGCTTGCAAGAAATGACCAGTAACTTTAAAAGAGGATAGGACTTCAGTGGTTATTGATCACATCCAGTAAGACAGACATTTGCACAAGAGCAGGAGCATTGTTTAGACTTGGAAACAATACTGTTTTTGGAGGAGCATTTGCAAAAATCTCCAGCAACTTTTTTTAGTCCAAAAAAAGTAGCTGTTCCCAGCTATAATTCTATTGCCCTCGTGTGCTGCTCCCAAATACATAAGATTCTGGATTATATAGTTCTTTGGTCTAAAACAGCAGAGTCCTTCTTACATTCACAGTTTTACATCAGGCTCTGTTTGGTGGAGTTTGAGGCACTGCTTTAAAAACGAACAAAAAGCAGTCGACTCCCTTGAGTCTGAAATGTGTGTCCCATGTTTCAAAATCTCTGTGCTATAATTTACAAAAATTATCACACTCCAAAAGTTTTTTTCTGATACCACACAGCAGGTTTCAAGCACATATTCACAGCCATGAGGACTAGAAACTTGACTGAAATCCTTAAGTTGTTCTCAAAAATAGTTTTGGACAGTCGAACGTGCGCAATCACACATTGTTGTCATAGATAACTAGAATACACTAAACCTTCCTCTCCCTAACAGCTACTCCTCACACTTCTCTGGTTTTCTCTTGGACAGCTGGTTTCTTTGTGTTTGAACAAACTGGGCACTGTTTTCTCCAAGATTAGCAGACTTCTGAAGTCAAACTACATAGTAGAGACTCTTGTTTGCCCAAAGCTTTTGGAAAAGTCTAGAGCTCTGGAAGAATTCACACATTAAACTTAGGTTGTTGCCAACTTCCCTTTCGTTATGCTAGTCACCCAGTGTCTTCAAAGCAGACAGGCTTCTTGGTAGAGTGTTGCTAGTCTTTGCACTTTTACTTGCAAATAGTAGACAAAGTTTCAGAATCTTTGGGTTGTGGTGAATTTTCTGGGCTGTATGACTATGTTCCAGAAGCATTATTTCCTGACGTTTTGCCCACATCTATGGCAGGCATCCTCAGTGGTTGTGAGATCTGTTGGAAACTAGGCAAGTGAGGCTTATATATCTGTGGAATAATGTCCAGGGTGGGAGAAAGAACTCTTGTCTGCTTGAGACAAGTATGAATGTTGCAAGCAGCCAGCTTGATTAGCATTGAATGGCCTTTAGGTTCAAAGCCTGGCTGCTTCCTGCCTGGGGRAATCCTTTGTTAGTTGGCCCTGATTGTTTCATATAATTCCCGTTTTTAAGTGTTCCTCTTTATTTACTGTCCTGATTTTAGAGTTTTTTTTAATACTAGTAGCCAGTTTTTGTTCATTTTCATGGTTTCCTCCTTTCTGTTGAAATTGTCCACATGCTTGTGGATTTCAATGGCTTCTCTGTGTAATCTGACAGGGTGGTTGTGGACCCTGAGAACACAGAAATGCTGGACCGCTCTAACAACCACCATGTCCCCCTCGGGGTGAGAAAAGCAGTATACAAATACTGTAAATAATAAATAAATAAAAWGTCAGACTACACTGAGGTGCCATTGAAATCTACAAGCATGTGGACAATTTCAACAGAAATGAGGAAACAATGAAAATGAACAAAATCTGGCTACCAGTATTTAAAAACTCTAAAATCAGGACAGAAAATAAAGAACCACACTCAGAAAACAKAGGAATTCCTGACATGAAACAATCATGGCCAKCTAATACCTTCCAACAAAGGATTCCCCTGGGCAGGAAGCAGCTAGGCCTTGAAGCTGCAAGGCCATYCAATGCTAATCAACCTGGTCGATTGCAACTTTCTACCTCAAGCAGACAAGAGTTCTTTCCCCCACCCTGGACATTCCACAGATATATAAACCTCACTTGCCTAGTTTCCATCAGACCTCATAACCTCTGAGGATGTCTGCCATAGATGTGGGTGAAATGTCAGGAAGAAATGCTTCTGGAACATAGCTATACAGCCCGGAAAACTCAGAGCAACCCAGTGATACTGGCCATGAAAGCCTTCGACAACACGTTGTCAGAATCTTGTTGGTGCCATTAGCCAACCTGGGGGACATCAACTGGATTCTGACTGAAGTCAAAAGCAATTGATCTCTGCACCTTATGCTGACTTAGATCAGTTTACATTTTGACCAAAATCAAAAGCAACTGATCTGAGACAACCTCCGCAATGCCTTATGCCGAGATCAATTCACCCTCCCTGCTGACACCATATTGTTTCAGTGACTTTTTTTTTCAGTTTCTTTGGCTGCTGAGATAGAACGAGGTCACATTTATGCCCCTTTAAGCAGAGGGGGAGGTATTTATTAAGTCGTGTGCGTCTCCCCTAATAACCCACAGATCATGATCCTATACCATTTACTTGGGAATTGGACCCACTGACTTCGGGTGGGACATTGTGTATACTCATGTATAAGTCTAGAAATTGTAAAAATTAATCCCCTACTAGATTGATCTAGCCATGGGTCCACTTAAGTATTGTGCCCTAGCTTGCATCAAAAAGGAAACATCTTATTTTAGTGGAATGACGAAAAGGTCAGTCCATCTCACAAGAACCTAAAATAAGTACAGACCTTCTCTTATATGTTGTGGCACCTCTTCCAATCTTTTTGAATCCCTGGGTGGGCAAATAGTGACAGCCAAGGGCAGTTGGGTCCAAGACAATGTGGTGCTTTCCTCACGGAATGACCCTTGCCTTACCCACAAATTAAAAACCGAAATTTTGGCTCCAAAATCTACATGTGGTCAACTTATACATAAGTATATACAGAAACTACCAAGTAAATATGCATAAGATCAGGCTTTAAAAGAGGTAGTGATTTCTGGTAACAGGACATTAAAAACAGAGGGATGGGAACTGTGAAGAAAGGAAGTGAAAAGAACCATGGAATCCTGTATCCTCACTGCCCGGATTCCCCCTAATCTGACCAACTAGATCCCCTTCATCTCCTGGGCAACGCAGGAGCCTTACTTCCCATACGACCTACTCTTCTTTTCTAATCCACTAGCCCCTGCCCACCCACAAACTCCTTCCACACAATCCAGGAGTTTCCATCCCTCTAGTAATCTAGACACTAATCCTATCCCAAAAAACTCAAAGGAAGAGCTCTGGCTCGCCACCCCTACATTCTAACCACTACACCCCACTTCCCTCCCTCAGAGCTCAGGAACTCCTTTCCACTTCTCGACGCTCCCAACCCTGCCATTTCTCCCTCAGCGTATGAGGACGTTGATCTCGGTCACGCTGGCTTCCATGACGTTCTCCGCCGTGGTCTTCCCATGCTGTTCCTTGAGGTGGCGCCGGATTGCGGGCTTGTGGGCGAAGCGGACGTCGCAGTAGGAGCAGCGGTAAGGCCTCTCGCCGCTGTGGAGGTTCATGTGGTCGTGGAGCGTGGACTTTTGGGTGAAGCATTTCCCGCAGATGGTGCAGGAGTGCGACTTGACACCGCGGTGGACATTCATGTGCCGGTTGAGGTTGCTGCTGTGGTTGAACTGCTTGCCGCAGCGGGGGCACATGAAGATGAAGTGGTGGGCCCTCATGTGGAAGACCAGCTTCTCCACACCTTGGAAAACCTCCTCACACTTGGTGCAGCGGATGATTCTAGAGGCACCGCTGCCTCCTCCGCCTCCTGCGATTCCTGAGCTGCCACCTCTCCCCATGGCAGGAAAGGTGGAGAAGGGACGCCCACTCAGTCCTGCCAGCACCAGCCCCATCCCACCACCACTGCTCTGGCACTCGGCCGCCACAGCTGCCGCCTCACTGGTTTCCTCCAAGTAGCTTCCACCTGGGATGATCAGGAGGCCTTCACCCTCAGCATCCTCAGACAGGCTGTAGGAGGCTTTCACTACACCATGTTGGGGTTTCTCGGGGCTCGATTCTGGAGAAGACCCCATGGTTTCTGCCACTGTAGAGTTGACTTGAGGCTCTTCTTGGTCTCCAGATCCATCCTTGTTCCACTCTGATGGGGGAGAAGACTCTTTGCCCCACGTCTGCTGGGGAGAACTTTCCTTGTTCCAGCTCTGTTGGGGTGACATATCTTTGTTATTCCAACTCGTGCCTGCCTGTTGCTGCTGCTGCTTCTTCTGTCGCTGAGCTACCTCTATGGCTGACTCGATCTTCACAATGCAGATATCAGAGATAGCATCTTCATCTCCGTAGTCGTCCTCCTGATCTTCATCTTCATCTTCTGCCTTCATCTCCAGCTCTTCTTCCAATGGGAACTCCAGCTTCACAGGGCGCTGCATAGACCTACCAGACATAAAGATATTCTTGTTAGTGCACAATGGGAAATCTAGTGAAAGCTGACCTATCTGTCTGAGTACTTAAACTGCAAGCCAGGGGTTGGTATTATAGCAGGTATATTTATCTGAAACTGATAAGCGAAATACCTTAATTTGGCCCTCCAGGTGTTTTGGACTTCAACTCCCAGAAATCCTAGCCATCTTACTGGTTGTTAGGAATTGTGGGAGTTGAAGTCCAAAACATCTGGTGGGCCAAGTTTGCCCATGACTGCCTTAAGGCATGAGATCCCATTTTATCTTGGAAGCTCTGGTTAATATCGAAATGGTAGATCATCAATTAATATCAGATGCTGTAGTGCTGTAGGACGTTGTAGTGCTGTAGGATGCATAAAACTATAGTTAACAGATAACTCTATTGAATGATTGACTTGTGATAGAAGCATACCAGAGAACTGGACTGGAGGATCTAGGAAATGCCTGACAGGACACCTCAAAAACAATAGGCAACTTGAAGGCACATGCATTTTCCTGAGATTACAGTAGGGATGTTTACAAACCAGTGTTACAGCAAAAAAAAAAAATCTTCTCATAATTATCCATATACCATATGATGAACAGGAACAAAGTACACTACAGCAGTCAGGCACATATGAAATGGCCTCTGTTGAAGTGAACCAGGGGTCACTTTACATGACAATCACCATTATGCACCAGCATTTCTCTTTGGGGACATCATGCCATAAATACCATCCTTCTCAGGACTATATCCTCTGAGAGAGATCAGCATTTTTAGCTTAATTCAATAGATCAAGAAAAGCTTAACTTAACCTGAAGCAGATAACATGATCACTATTTTGGCTTCCAGAAGATGGCACCATCACCTTACCTACTGAAAATATTTTTCATGGCACAGTTAAACATTGTGATCATTAAGTAACTTGTTCTGGTTGCCTGGGGCAGGTAAGAATCACCTCCATGTGCTCCAAGGAATTCGGGCAACTTGGGTTGTATTTGTTTTCATTTTCAGCAGGAACTTGACTAGAATGGTGTCCAGGATTCGGATCCCTGCTTGGACAAATGTCTGAGCAGGAATTCTAGGTCTGTCTTTAAACAGGGTTAAGAAATCAGGAACTGCAGAAATTTGCTGCTGCATTTGTTGACCGCCGCTCTCAGCCCTGGGGCGACTCGTGGAAATAACAATGACACACAAATACACAGAGCAAAGGTAAAGGCTCCCCCTTTCATCTCCGGTTTCTGGAGGCAGTGCTCAACTCTGGCCATGGGGAGGTGCTCTTTCTCCATTTCCAAACTGAGGAACCTGTTGTCCGTAGACACCTCCTGGTCATATTTCCAGCATGGCTGCATGGGCGCCTTTTTATTACTTTCCTACTGAAGCGGAACCTATTGATCAACTTACATTTGTATGTTTTTGAAATGCTAGGTTGACAGGGGCTAGGGCTAACAGCAGGAGCATGCCCTGAATTGAGGCTTCAAGTTGCCAGGCTTTGGGTCAGCAGATTCAACAGTTCAACTGTTTAACCCATTGTGCCACCGCTGCCCTCACTAAAACACAGTATTTAATTTTTCTTGTCGCGTTCCAACTCTAAGATATATTTAAGTAACTTGTCTATATAAGATATCCTTGAACTCTTCCAAAATGTTTCCACAATTATCTATTTTTGTCTATTTTTTTCTCACACAAAATTGACTATTTATGATGTTGTATTTAAGTGTATGAAGTTCAAGGAGAGGCATTTGCTCTTTTAAGATGAGAAGGAAAGAGGCATTTATTTTTCTGTCTAGAGTGTATCATCACTGACTGCCTTTCATTGAAAGGTTTTCAAGTGGGGAATCCTGGATACCATACCAGTCAAGTTTCTTATAAAAAGGAAACCAAATACAACCAGAATATAGCAAGTCACATTCCTTCAGTAGAAGGTAAACCACCTCTGAACAAATCTTGGGAAGAAAACCCTGTGATAAGAGTCACCGTAAGCTAGAAAACTGTGGTAGACTATTTGCCAGAACACAAACTCTTCATCAGCAAACCTTTTTCGCGAGTGTTCTTTACGGGTTGAGGTAGAAGTAGTGCAGCCCACAATGCTGGGGGACTTGGACCTCCGGTGGATCCCGTATTTGGCCGTTTCTTCCTTGAGGCTGATCTTGGGCTCTATGAACTGAGACAAGGCGTTCCGGCACTTCTCCACCACATGCTCCATCTGCAGATAGCTGGCCGCCGTCAGGTAGTTGACGATGTCTCGGACGGCGAACTCTAAGGCGCCGGTGTAGC